GTCTGTGCTGTGTTTTGCAGTACGAGATGCGCGGAGTTGTGTGCCGGGATGCAGTGAACGACTGTGACATTCCAGAAACCTGCACAGGAGACTCCAGCCAGGTGAGAATGGAGTCTCATTGATCTTTTGCTCAATGTCATTCTCTTATATTCAACATTTATACATGTCCAAGTTGGTCAAATACTAAAATTAGTATGATGTATGATGACAGAACCTGATACTGAGGTAGAGACGTTAAGGAGCAGGAACCCCTCTCTGAATGGGGGGACCCATCTCGTCTGGGTGTAGCTGTAGCCCCAGAGACCTGAACAGATCAATGAGCAACATTCCAATCCATTCTGCAACAAGATTTCAGTCAATCCATCTGTTATCAGAAAGTTGTTTCTTCCTGCTTAAGGGTCATGGGAACAATTTAGAGACATTTAATCTGCCTTCCATGACTTTAGAATGTGGCAGGCAATCAGAGCACTCAAAGATGCTGCAAAGCAGGTGTGCTAACCACCCTGATTTCAGCCAAAAGTGTGTAATTAATCAGTGAAGACTTCAATTTCTTCTTAATTATTTGATGGTTTTTCAATTAATTAATTTCATTGATCTTGCTGCTCAAGCTGCTTGCGGTATTTGCCAGACTTCACGCCTCTGCTTGAACTAGATCATTTGCATGCTTGTGAATCAAAAGTTTAAAGAGGCAGGGAGACGACAAGCTGGGTCCCTGACTGTCTGTCCTCTGTTCTGCACACAGTGTCCTCACAATGTCCACAAGCTGGATGGCTACACCTGTGAGAACGGGCAGGCAAGTTCCCTTCACCTCCCTGGGACGGGACGCTCCAGGCTGGCTGTGATCCTGGACGAGCAGCGTCACAGCCTGACAGAAAATGACCGCAGTGTCAATAAGGCCACCTCTGATGCAGTCGAATGTTTGCACAGATTCTGGGTAGTACGTTAAGGTGCTAAGGCAAACAAAGATGGAGCTCTTTGATCGTGGGATCGCGGCTGGATCATGTTTCTAGCCGACTGAGACTGTCGGCCCTTGCATTGACAATCTGAGCTGCCTGAGTGCTCACAATTCAGCTCACCTGGGAGCGGTTTGTTTGCCGTGTGTAGGGTGGGATTCCTGGTACAGGTATCTCTTGGCTCTTACTGACACAGCGACCTCTGTGGCCATGAGAGCAGCTGTGTGAGAGCTGTGAAGCTCTGGGCTCTCCCTCTCTGACTCCCTGTCTCTCCCTGTGTGACAGGGCCGCTGTTACAGTGGGCGCTGTAAGACGCGGGACGGACAGTGCAGCGGCCTGTGGGGTTACAGTGAGTATGGCTCATGAGAAGGGACACGAGCTCTGTGGCCTCTCCTTTCTCCTGAAGGAGCCGGGCACTCGGAGATGAGCAAGGTCAAGACAAAGTGACTGTCTCTGCAAACTGTATGTGTCTGGTCGCATTTTCCAGCATTTAGTAATGTCTCAACACACTACACCCAGAGTCAGAAGATTCTGGTCACAAGAGAATGGGAATGGGATAGTGTTTTCCACTTCTGAGATCGACACTCGGACGAAGATCAAATCTGTGGGTTTGTGAATTTCCATTAGCTGCATGCAGGCCCCTGTGTCTCCAGTGATCCAGTCCTGTTGGGTTTTCACAGGCTCTGCGGACCGGTTCTGCTACGAGAAGCTTAACTCTGAGGGCACAGAGAAAGGCAACTGTGGGCGAGACGGGCCAGGCTGGATCCAGTGCAACAAGCAGTGAGTCGGTCTCGAGTTGTGAAATTGTTTTCCAGGTCCCAGGGCCAGTCAGTACAATTCAGTCATTTTCCTGCAGCAGGGTGGGATCCTTCTGGACTGGCTGTTTTTATTTTGCCAGTTTTGGGGACATGCTGCCACTATTGACTTGAGCGAGGCTGCGCTGGGTTAAAGACCACCTGTTCCTGAGCTGTTTTGCTGGCCTTTAAGAAACAGTGTAAGGAAGCCCCTGTTGACGTGTGACCGCCTTTGTTCTACATCCCCATGACCTGACGTCACCGCGAACTGGGGGGTAATTAACGGGCTCCTGCCCTGCTGGCTGGTGTCAGGAAGGCCTCACGGAGCAAACCCAGTCCCACAGCAGCACTAGCCCTCCAGCGCCTACATGAAGTCAGCATAGCCCTGCGCCCGCCGTCCTCCCTGAGTCACACAGTCCCTTGTGTTGTCAGCAGTGCTGAACTGTCTCTTCACTCCCTCCTCTTCTCCATCACTCCCGCCATCAGGGACGTCCTGTGTGGATTCCTGTTCTGTGCCAACGCCACAGGGAAGCCGCGCTTCGGCGAGCTGTCTGGCGAAGTCACCAGCCTCACGATCTACCACCAGAACAAGTACCTGGACTGCCGGTAAGGACCGGCCCTCGCTGCCGGCACCCGCGGGGCGGAGAGGCACTTCTGCTGGGCTCGTGGTCACACGGGGGGTTACAGGAGAGCACATTACAGACCGTGTGAAGAAACCCTGCAAGAGCTGCAGAACACTGACAATGACTGCTCTCTGGTTAATCGGTGTCCGGAGAAGTGGAAGCTATCCCATAGATTCAAATATTATACAGTAAATATAATAGTTTCACAAACTCAAAGACTGAACCAGTTTCCAGACGATGTGCAGGTTTAGATGTGGTGTGTTGAAGAGCTGCGTCTGCGTCTGAGTGGCCGGTGTGCTTGTGCGTAGGGGTGGCCACGCGCTGCTGGACGATGGCACGGACCTGGGCTACGTGGACGACGGGACGCCCTGCGGGCCCAACATGATGTGCCTGGAGCGGCGCTGCCTGCCTGTGGCCTCCTTCAACCTCAGCACCTGCCCCGGCTCGTCCGACAGCAGGATCTGCTCCCAGCACGGGGTGAGGCACCCCGCTGACTGACCGCACGACTGACCAGTCACACGATCAACAGCAAAGACTGACCTGCTGAGCTTTTTTTACTTTTTAATGATTGGAAACAGTTTACATTTAAAATATGCATACAATGATTAGCTCTTTTTTTCCATCTTTTCTTTTAGGTTAGAATTGTACGTTTTTAGAGCTATTCATACATGGCAGCAGATAAGGGGGATTAAATACAGACATATATTTGCTTATTCAAATCTGTATTCTCTGGTCATTTATAGAAAAAACACAAAATAGTGAAATCAGGTCATAATGGGTGGTCATACATTTTGTCCAGGTTAACCAGTATTTTCTAAGCATGTCTGACTGTAAATTGAGAGAAAAGGTTATCCTTTCCATTATGTACAGTGCATCTCATTCACAATATCAATCCACTCTTTGGATGTCGAAGGCTCTTTGTGATTGCTTTTTCACTAGCAGCTAGAAGACTTCCTAGTATGTATCTGTCTTTTGGTTCAATGTGATCAAAGGGAAAATTTACAAATATGTAACTGAGAATTCAAAACTTCTATAAGTTATATTATAACTTTACCATCTTACTAAGGGCTTGCTGAGCTCTTTGCTTTTGATTAACATCCCTGATCCTCCTTGCCACCATCTTTTCTCATTTTGTCTCTCGTGTAAAATTCCTTCAACTCAAAGGGTTTTATTGGTATGACCGATCAATCACAATGGCGATCGAAGGCTGGTGTTTCTGCCAGTTTTCCCTAAAGCAACAGCCAACAGTGTAACTAGATAATTTAGGTCATTAAGAACAGCTGAAGACACACTGGCTGGTAACTACAGCTGCAGCAACTCGTTAACAAGCTATAGCGGAACAGAAAAAAGAATATTGTATCTGTATATATAACAGAGTAATTAGCAGGACATTGAGAACTAACAGCTCTGTCTGCTGATTGGCCCCAAGGAGAAAATAAAACCATAATAAATCATGAAATATTCGCATATCCCACATAGTATAGCAGACTAAATATTCCACACCGTCGCTTCTGTTTCTCTCTGCGTCTCTCTCACTTGAGCCCTGTGCTGTCTGCCTCAGGTGTGCAGTAACGAAGTGAGGTGTATCTGTGACCGGGACTACACGGGGAAGGACTGCAGCGTCTACGATCCCATCCCTGACCCCAAGCCGCAGGGCGGGCCGGAGAAGTACAAGGGTTTGTGTTGCTCTGCAGCGCCTCGCTCTAGACACACACACACACACACACCGCGCCGGGATGACGCTGTGCAGCGGAGCGTGGTGCGTACCTTTCCCTGCGCCGCGCAGAGCGCCCAGATAGCAGCGGGCACGCTGGCTGTCCCGCGCCGCCCCACCTGTGTGCTTGAGAGCCTGCACTTCCTCATCCGCTGTTCTCTGAGCGGCTGGGCTTGTGGCCTGCCGCCACAGCCCTGAGCGGCTCTTTACCACTTTACCTTCCAAATACGGCTTATAGAGCCAGGATCTGCAGGAGCACATCGGGCAAAATCAAAAAGTAGACGTGAGAATTCACCTCAAAGAGCTAGATGTGGGAGAGCAAGTCTCACAACCACCAATGGCACGGTGATCCAAAACACTCACCCAGTAACCTGTGTGAATTACTGAAGAGTTTGACTTGTCTGAAAGGTGACTCGGCTGGTTTAGTGCACGTTGGTCTTTCGGATTGTATTTTGTGATGGAGGACACTACTGAAATAGTTACAGCCACACATGTCTGTAATGTGTTACAGTACAGAAAGACTCCAAGGAGGAATAAAGGGTATTTGGTAGTAAGAAATCTAATGCTCATACTTTAATGGTGAGTGGTTTTCTGGAGGGATTGTTCTGCAGTGAAACTCTGATTTGAAAACTGAGTCTTAGAGAGCTGTGCCTCTGCTTTACAGTGCCCCCTACAGGGCAGAAAGTGCTCTGGCATATTTACCTGTTTATAAAGTAGGGGGGCATGTGTACATGTTTTTTTGACAATACTACTACTCTAATACTAGCTCGTCGGGAGCTGGGGCTTTAAAGCTTGCAGACACGGTCCTCCAGCCAGCCCTGGTGTGGAGCTTTGGAAAGGCCTCCTCACCACCAGGGGGCACTGTACTTACTGACCCAGCCCTGAGCTGAGGGGGGGAGCGGGTGGAGGTGGGGTGCATCTAGACTGTATCTCAACGTGTTTTACTTATTTCTTGCAGTTTGCCAATGAAAGTCATTTGGCAATGTTGTGCAAAGCAGAGCAGAGGCAAAGGGGGTGCCCGGTCGAGAGAGGCAGAAGTAATGAAACACCCCCTCGTTTTCTCTGTCCTTTGGCTCTCCGTCTCCTCTCCCCCTCCCCCTGTGCCGCCCGTCTCTCTCTCGCCAGTCGGTGTTGACAAGATGTTCTGTGGTTCTGCTGTTTCTGACGTGTGTCTGGTGGTATTGTCCCCCTCCCCTCCCCTCCTCCCCTCTGTCCCTTTACACAGGTCCCAGTGGCACCAATATCATTATAGGGTCCATCGCAGGTGCCATTCTCCTGGCAGCTATAGTCCTAGGGGGAACAGGATGGGGATTTAAGTAAGAGCTCTGGCATGCCTCTTGTGTTCCTGTCTGCTTCTACCTGATATTGCCACTCACTTCCTGACCGATGGGGAGGGGGCCCCTTGAAAATCGGGAACTCCAAAATGCTGCAGGAAAACAACACAAATTCAAAAGAGGGCCCGTTTCAGTCCGCCTCCCTGCGCTGTCTGGGTCTCGAGCTTCTCCGTGCTTTTTAAGACTCCGTCCCGGCGAAGCCTGGGTGCACACCCCCACCTAGACCAGCCCGATTCCCAAGGTGCTCGTCTAGGCCTGTGGACCAGCCGCTGTTTACACCAGTGAGCCCAGTCCTACCAGTTACAGAGGGGAAACTCCACTTCCCTGCAAGTGACTGTGCCCAGCTGTGTTCCGTGTCAGGGCTCCTGCATACGTTTCCTTAGACACATTTACACACACACCGCTTGCACACGGCTTTCACACAGGTTACTCATATAGTTTACACAAGCATTAAACATGGGCTACATACACTTTCCACATGGTTTACACAAGCATTGCACACATTATACACAGGTTACACATACTTTCCACACACAATGCACTCTCTGTACTCTTCATGCACACCATAAAGTACAAAGCAGATTGTACACATCTCCAGATAATCCAAACAAAGTTTACAGAGCTTAAATATTAATGCAAAACCTGAAAAGCAAGCAAGCACTTTCTGTCACAAGTTCCTCACCCTGTCGATCTTGACACCTGAGCTTTTCCACAGGCATCCACTTTAGTGTTTCACTAAACATGCTCCATCAAACAGTATTTATAGCTCAGGTGAAGATCAATCACTTTGGACTGTACATATACATAATTTATTACATATACATAATTTCATTGAGGAGTGGAAGAACAGACGAGCAGTTAGAGTTGGGAAGAAGCCCGTCTAGATGCACAGGTGTTAAGGAGGCCAGTGCCAACACAGATTACCTCTGTACACCTTGAGCTTTGTCTTACACGTACTGCCACTATGTGGAAATTAAATTTAAACCAGGAACATTAGGCATCCTTACCCCAAGGGTTGTGGGAGTCAGGAACAAGCTGCCCAGCATTCTTGTTGTAGCCGATACCCAGGTTTAACTGAAGAAGCAACTGGATAGATCCCTTGATCGTCTTGCTCTGAACTGCTTTATGGGCTGGATGGCCTCTTGTTAGTAGCTGTTCTTCTGCGCCTCCACCAGCAGAGGAGCTGCAGTCTGCCTCTGTGTACCAGAGTGGGTAGTTGCTTTTTGGATAACCAGTGAAATCCATAATTAAGACATCTAAGAAATTGGCACCCGTCTTCAAATTTCAGCTTCAAGCTTGTCCTCACCTCATCTTTAATTGTGGAATTTTAGCTAAATTTAGACGTGATGAATTCTGCGCCTTAAACAGAGAAGCCACTGTGACAGAGACTGTCCATTTGGAAAGAACTTCCAGATCTGTAATAATGTCACACACACGCTTCCAGACCGTAAGATCTCTCTTGATTTTGGTTAGAACAAGCTGATCAGTGTAACATAATGAGTGCAGCAGTTCTGGTGATGGAATAAATCTTAAAAACTGTACCTGATCTCTGCCAAGTAAAGCTAAAACAAACACTTCTGTTTAATCTACGTGTTAGAAAACCTATGAGAAAACGCCACGTTTTCACTGCATTTGCCTGGAAGTGAAATCATATTGGTGTTTCACACAATCCAGGATTTCCTTCGCTCCTCCTGCACACGGACAGGGCCGTGCTCTCGCTCCGCAAAGCTGCCGGCCTCCGGGAGCAGGACTGCAGCCCCCCCTCACCCCTCACCCCCTCCCTACCTAGACTGAGCCCCAGGAAAGCCTGCCAGGGACTCCTCTGTGCCCGCTGTGCATGTGTGGTTTGGGTGTGATCTCTGGGGGCGGGCCGGGGGGCGTGGCCTTGATGCCAGCAGCGCATGACGGAGGCAGGGTGACAGCCTGTGGCGGACCCTGCCGCCCCACTCCCTCACCCCCGCGGCTGCATTCGGGACAGACTGGATTGAAATGAATTTGCTGAACAGTATCGTACTCGCACAGTAGAATGGAACCTAAAGATGGCATGACACTGAGTTTTAGCATCAGATACTCCATCAGTGTATACACACTCTCCAGGTCAATGCATTTGTTTAATTTATTTAACATTTTGAATTTGCACTTTATTTTTCTATGCCCAACAAGCAAGGCACTGCTGTTTTGAGCTCTAATCCTAATCAGGATAATGATCGTGAGCTGTCTGTTGGAGGTCCTGAGAAAAACATTTTCAGTAGGCAGTATGGGGGAGGTGATTCTTAAACAGGGAACCTGTGTACTATAGTACACTTCTCTCCAGTTGAGAAACAAAACCAAATTTCAACCCTGCTGTCATATTTCCTCGATTTATAGCTCAGGCTGGAATCCCAGAGCTTCCTCAGCCCAGTATTCCGGCATGATGGACATTGCCAACTAAATCACTCAATCCACTGGAATACCTCTCCAGCCTGGTCTCGGTGGGGTGGGGGAGAGCTGGCCTGCGCCCAACCACCACTGGCTGCTCAGTCTGTCTCGATGACCATGCCTCAGCGCTCACGGCACAGCCCGGCTACACTACACAGGCGATTCCACTGGGCCGTCCTGCCAAACACGATACTGGCAATGAAACCATATTGAAAATTGCTAAGAACATGGCCCTCCCTCTGGCTCCCTAGATCCCCACACTGCTTCTGTGAAATTCTGTGCTCACAGGCTCTCACTGCTGATTTATCAGCACACTCCTCTTCCTACTGTGCATCCGCCGCCAAACCAAGCTGTTGCTCAGCTTGTTCTCAGCCGTAGGTTCGAGAATGTTTCAGAGGTGGCAGTCTTGGCCACCGGCCTCCCCTGCTTGTGTGCGCTATGGCCTCAGTGGTCTCTGTATGGCCTCAGTGGTCTCTGTATGGCCTCAGAGGTCTGTGTATGGCCTCAGAGGTCTGTGTATGGCCTCAGAGGTCTCTGTATGGCCTCAGAGGTCTGTGTGGAAGGGGGGAGGGGGAACACAGTGGCTAGCAGTGGACGGGCCGAGCTCAGGGAGTGCCAGGAGGATGCAGGCAGTCTGTACTGGGCAGGGGGTCCAGCGAGAGTGGGGGCAGGCCTGTCTACCCTGACCGAGCCCAGCTTGCTGGTTTCTAATAAATCACTTGTATGAGAAGTGTGCAGTTTTTTATATATTAAACTGTACTAAGCCTGTTGGTGATGCATCTTAAAGTTGTATCAAGAGGCTGTTCGGAGTGACTGTGTGTAGGTGAGTGGTAGGGTGCCAGTACTTGTAAGAAACTCAGACATGCACCCGTCCAGGAGCTCTTGCTCTTGCTGTGATTTGACATTCAAGCTATTTTGAATTAGTCTGACCTGAAAAGTCATCTCTGTCCTGCAGCTGTCGTGTTTGTCAGGTTCTCCCTGGCAGTGCAGCCCGGCTGAGGCATGGTCAGTGGGGATAACTACATGGGAAAAGAGGGAGGGCAGCTTGTTGTCTGGGATCAGCATACAGGGAACAGCTTCCTCCCGGATGGAGCAGTAAAGACGGACAGCATACTGCTGCCCTTGTCCAGGCGATGACAGGAAAGCTCATACCATCACTCCTGTGCAAGGCCCTCTGTGATCAATAAAACCCAGGATCTGAAATGGATATCCATTTGATTCATTGATCCAGGTGTTGCCCTCTCAGCACATGATTCATGAAGACTTGGTCCACAGACATGCCTTCTCCCAGAATAATAGTAATTGGTTTTGTGTAATTGTCTAACAATTAAAACAATCAGTCTTTGATCCCTGTGCACAGGTGTCTGACAGGGCAGGCAGTAATAGGACCTCATTACTGAGTACTGCACTCTTGCCTAGGACTACTGATGCATAAATGAAAGCCAACTTTAAAGGACATCTTTCCACTGGTCTGCAGAGGGTTCCTATGAACCAGAGCTCATCTGAACCTGATTATCTTCCCACAGGGTCTTGTTCACCCTGACACAAACTTTTCATCAGTCTTGGTGACCACAAGACTGCATTTGTCAGGCTTTGCATTTTCAAGAGAAAGCAGTGCCTCTGTTTCCTGTATGCAATCCCGAAAGTGATTGGATGTTTTTTGCTGTACCTGCTTTTGTGATAATTAATGCCACCTCTCTCTCTCCCTCTCTCCACACCACCACTTCTCTGCGGCCTTCTTGGCGTTTCTCCCTGGAAAAGAAACATCCGAAGAGGAAGGTATGATCCCGCGCAGCAGAGGATGATGTAAACCCTTCTCTGTGCTCACGCTCTCCTCTCCATCCCTGCACCCCAACCTCCCCCTCCAGCACTTCTGCAGCTCAGTGAAGCTCCAGCGGTAGATGGCTACAGCCCCCACTTTATTGTGTTGTTGTGAGACACGACAAAAAGATGATCTTCCTCAGCAGGAGTCACATTAGTCTGGAGCTGTTACTTCCAGCTGAGAAGAACACAGTTAATTCCAGTACTTACAATTCCAAACACTGTGAATGCGGACGCATTGTTCTTAAAGACTCAACGCTGTCGGCGTTGAAGTAGAAACACATTTGTTAATGGCCTGCAGGTCTCGTCACATCACTCAGCTGGGGCTCTGTACACCTCTGCCGAAAATTATTCCAGACTGCTTTTCTTAAAGCAATTTTTTGCACACTGGGGTATCCAGAGAAATTTCACACTGCTTCCTCGAACAATCTCCACATGCCAATGCTCAACATGGTCAAAAGAAAACGAGCAGCACTGCTACGCCGACTGTAGATTCACCTGCAAGCAGCATGATGGGCTTCTTCTGCAAGAGACAATGTTATAGAATGCGGTGCTTGTGAATATGAGTGCTCTGGTACTGTATGTAATGTGCTCATTGTCGTGTCCCCCTCTCCCCCAGGGGGCTGAGTCACAGCATCCCTTCTGTCTGTTCTTTAAGCACAGTGGGTTCATGTTCATTTATGTTGTGTGATGGAAATTAAAGTTCGAGTCCCTTCACAACGACGGGAAGTCACTAATGAAATCCTCACCCTGCAGTTGTTTGCTCACAGTTCCAAGGCCAGAGACCAATGACTTCAGAGAACTGAGTCAAAGATGATTAATCTTTGCACCATAGTCTCTGGGAGAGCATTTCTGCAAACTTGGTTTCAGCTGTTTCCTCCTCGTGCTCGTGTCACTGCTGTAACAGGAAAGCACAGATGCAGTTTCTTATTCTGAAGTCATCTCAGTAGCCCTGAGGTTTTGTTTTTTCCATTCTGATGAATAAGTTAGGTTTGAGAGTTGTAAAAAAAATGTTGGGCAGATTTCTTATCTATATCTGCTTTTGCACCATAAACTCTTCTGACTGGGGGAATGCAGACTGATTCTTGTCTCTTCACTTCTTGGGTACTCTCCAGTGAAAGAGCTTTCCTTAGTTATACCTGCTCAAGTCTCACTGTTGTCTCTTCTGCCTCTCCCTCTCTCCCTGAATCCCTCCATCTCCCACCATCTCCCTCTTTCAGAGTTCTGTCTCTCAAGCTCTGTCCTTTTGTTTCTTCCAGATCTGGAGGAGCGTAGGACAGCTGTAGCTATGTGCAGCTTGGTCTTCCTTGTGCTGTGTCCTTTCCTCCTAGAAAAACAAAGTCTTCCACTTGTTTCCAGACTTCCCTGTCCCCACCTCCACCTTTCCGCTCCAGCCTCCTCTCCCCCGGCTTGGTCCCTCCTGGATCTATCCGGGAACGACGCCAGCCATCTCCAACATGCTGCATTTCCGCTAGATCTGCCTGCCAGGTCCTGCGTGACTCCAGAACTCAAGGTGGCCATTATCCCAAGGATGAGCAAGGGACCAGAGCTTTCACCCAGCGGACCAATCCAGCTCCGGGAGAGGCACATCCCTGAACCAACTGGATCAAAAAGATCTCCCTTGTTCCCAGAACAACCTTTCCAGTTTTCTTGGACTGTAGTCGGGGTGCTCTCTGATGCTGCTGTTTTTATATGCTTTGTTGACCCTAGATGTCTTCTCTGGACAAAATGAGAAGACCGGTTTTGCTAATATATCGTAGGTATTCTGTAGTATTTACATGAAGTTCCCAGAGTCGGGGGAGGCCCCTTGCTGGAGTGGGAGTATTGGATCTCCAGAGGCCATCTGCCTTAATTCAGCGCCATTGGACTGAGCAGGTCAAGCTGGTACCAGGACCGATCCGTGGTGATACTGGTAAGACACGCTTTCTGACAGTGGCTGAAGAAAAGCTATTAGCAGTGGCTGTTAGTGGACACTGGCCAGGCTTGGCACCTTTTGTGTTCAGGTAAGGTGTACCCTTGTGTTGTGGGTATGAAACTGTAAGGGCATCTTTGATTTTTGTTAAAATGAAATTGAGAAACTAACAGCACCTGAAGCCTGTGTGGGATTATACATTGAGATGAACAGAGAAGCATGTATAGTTAACCTGGAGTTTGCTGAAATGTCTTGCATCTTATTTAGCTGGACATACTCTTTGTTTCTGAATACGAGTCAAAAACATGTCCTCTAAGCTCAGTCATACAGAAGGCTTGGAAGGTGCTTTCCCATCAGTGTTAAGGTCAGAATGGCAGGAGCGAACACGGCTCTTGCAGACAATACCCGACTGTATCTGCTACTCTGCTGGTGCTGCATTCTGACCTTTGTCCTCCAGCAGCAGTATACTGTAGAACAATGTCATTTGTTGAACCTCTTACTTGGGTCCTGTTTGCAAAGGGGATCAAAGACATCAGAGTAACCAAGGTATTGCCGAGTGGCTCTTCTAGCAAAGGGGATTATCTGAGTAAAAGCGGAGATTCTGATCCAGGTGTCCAGGGGTTTGAGCCTCATGTTACCAGCTGGCTGTAACTGGGATTGGCTGTGGACTCAAACATGGCAGGACGAACAGGCACAGCCTCACTGTGATCCTTGTGGTGAGCTCGCAGCTTCCAGCTGATGAGGAATGAACAGCAATTCTTCCTCAGTCAGCACTGATTTAGCAGGGTTCTAAAACCTGTTTTTAGTTCAGTGTACATAAACTGTATAGAAAATGTCCTGTTTATAATATTGTAACATACAGGGAAACCATTGATTTATGAGAAAAGAACTACAGGTAACTAGAAACTGTCATCGGTTACATTAAGATCACAAAGAATACACCAAAGCTGATGTTAACTCCCAAATTCTGCAAGATGATTTTGGATTGCTTCATTATCATGTGGGGGAAAATAGTAAGAAAAACATTCCTTAAATATTTTGTGTAATATTAAAATGTGACAGAGAACCTGACAGAGGTGATTACTGGCAGTATGAGGTCAAGGCTTATTTAAAAGTTTGTGCATCAAAGGCCAGGTGTGTGGATGGACAGAGGGCTGGTCAGTGGTTTCTGTCTCCAGTAACTCAGCTGTCTGAAACATGACAGTCCTGGTGCTGTAGCACAGCAAGAACTTGGAAAAGAAAATCAGCTAATTGTCTCAGGTTTATGCACTTTATTTTTAAAAAGTATTAATATCTTGAATCAGAGGTATTAAATTATAATTTACTATTGCAGCACCTTGCATTCACCCCCAGTCAGTTGAATAAATTGGCTACTATAGTTTAGTCTCTTTCCACCAGACTGGCAGTGCCCTGCATTGATAAACCAAGTAACAGCACTGAGGTCATAAGAGACTCTCCCTGCGTTCTCTCTAAATAAGCTCAAACTGAACAGGAGACGGGGAAATACTGAGAGCTGATTGGCGCAAGACGTCTTTTAGATCACAAATGTCACAAAATCGTAAAGCTGGATTGGGGCCCGGAGAATCATTAAAGAACCCACTCCAGAATACTCCTTTTCCATGTGTTATTTCTACCCGTTTTTCCTGTCTGCTCTCCACTCTATACAGATCCTTTCAGTACAGTTTGGAAAAATAACCATCCTCACCAGATTGCACATCTCATAATTATAATTCTATACAAGAATTATTGGACAAAATGGAGCAGACACTCCTCCCTACAGTAGGTTTGTGGTAGTTTGGCTTTGCCTCTATATATAGTGTCCTATAGGCAGGAAAGTAACTTATAATGGGAGAAGTTTTTTTTTTCTTGTGACCTAGAGTATGCAAAGCTAGCTGAAGGATGGGCAGATGGATGGACCTACAGAACTCATGTATTCTATTCAATAGGGTGCAAGTCTTTCTCTTCAGTATTCTGAAAGAATGGAAGGTGGGCCTTTTAAAATGTCCTCGGAGCAGAGGAGAGCACTTTCAGTGCAGGCTGAGCTTTGGCCAACCCGTTTGTTCATTAAGAGTGTAGCACACCAGCCAGGGCCAGAGACCATGAAGCCATTTCTGTAAACATGGAGATGGGCTCCAGCACACGCACACACAGGTGTGACTGACACAAGGAGGCGAAGTCGTGCTGTGGCTCGGTGGAGCTGACTGCCCTCTAGAATGTGTCACAGCTGAGATCAGGCCCTCTGCATTGTACTCTGACCTGAGGTCGATCTACTAACATTCCACAGTGGCGGAACTATTCTGGAAATATATTTACATGCTGCTTTTTAAAAAGTGTTAGATATACACAAATTAACCTGTAGTAACTTTGTCATTTATTTGAATGAAAAACTGTTTTATAAACCAAGGCTGATATATAAATATCTATTGTATAATCTAAAACAATATACATACTGTATGTATATGATGTGTGCGTGTGTGTTTGTATTTAGTGTATCTGACAGGGGTCCAAGAATAATGTTTTTTTGATTCCATGAGCACAAAAAAAAGAAGTCTGGATTCAAGTCGGGATAACCAGCCTCAGGTCTCTTAGCTGTTAAAAAGAGAGATTGATTAATAGAAGGCTTGAGAGCAGCTGAGTGCAAGGTCTTGTCCTGAAGCAGAGTGGCAGCCCTGTACACCAGGTAGTGCTGGTTCAGCTCTGGGCAGGTTGTTAGCTAATATCTGGTGCCACAGCCACCTCTGTGCCTAATTCGCTGGCCTAGCGAGAGCTGCTTCACTCCTCTGTCAGATGTCTGCTCTCCTACTGGCATGGTGGGGCTCATGGTGTGAAAAACCTCAAGTGCACATTTCGGGGGAGAGCATTACGATCTTCTGTTCCACACTGGTGTGAGGTGTACATTCCAGCATTTAGTATTCTTCCTTCTCACCTGGGAAATCACATTTCATCTTAAAGCACAGGAATGCAAATGAGATTATAGCACCACTCACAGGACATCTAATCCTTGTTTTCTGTTCAAAATCTACAGATCTCCACTCGTCAAACACATCATAAATCCCAGTGCTACACTGGAGTGAAGCCTGACTGATAGAGACAATTGAAAATAATATGGAAGAAAATAAATGCTGATGTAAAAAAAATAAAAATCCCTTTTTCCTTAGTGGCTGTACAGGTAGCCCTCAGTGCTCCTATATACTGTAGCTCACGTTCCATTATGTACCTTAACACACGTCTTGGACCCCTGTTTAGAGTGGATGTGTATGGGACTTATTCCAAAGCAATTTCTATCTGAATTCTGTCTGTGTGTATATAACATATAAATATGTAAAGAGCTGCTGCAGATTAGCAATAGCAATCCCTTTGGTTTAGTTCCTTTGTGAGCCCAAAGAAACTCCTTTAGTTCAATAGTGGGCAGACTGGTCCCACATTGTCATTATACAGTTTGGGTTTGAAGATTCTTATTTTTGAAGAGGTCTTTTTATTTTGGTGCTTTTTGTTTTGCTGCTGTTGCAGATTTGGAACAGAAAGAAAGGTGACCTAGAAACCTTTCACAAAAAACTATATCACTGCCCAGCAGTGGAGAGGCATGCTTTTTTATTTGTCCTCAAAGGCTGCTTAGTGATGTATCCTGCCATTCCAAAGCTACGTGCCGGTGAAGGCCTGCTCCACGTGTGCAAGAGGAATCGGGTGAAACAGTCACACGAATGATTTTGGGCTAGCCTAGCACGATTGTTTCAATGAACTGCTTTCCTATCTTGACCAGAGATCAGGAGCCATATTCTTGAAACATTTTTCACCAATCTGTGTTTGTAGCCCTTTTCTTGGAGAAGTTAAATAATAAGAGTCAAAAGGTCATGTCTTCACTGCCAAGGGATACTGGGAATCAGCCTCCTGAAAGATGTAAATGTGCCTCGGCGGTATCCCTTCCTCTCACGGAGCTATCGGCTACTGGGGAGTTAAACAGGCCTGTGCCCCTGCTGCCCAGCAGACACACTTCACATCCTAGCAGAACGTGAGGATTTAAGAGATTAAATGGATTGATAGCAGTGGATTAAGCTTTCAGGCCCTGGCTAGATTATATGAAAGATGTAAGGTAAACTGGAGTGTTTTTCCTGAATTTTCATTCCAGCCCCCCCCCCCTTACAGTTCAAACCTGCAGCAGCTTGAACTGTCCCTGAGGTTTGTACCTGCAGGTGCATTCTTACAGCTCGGGTCAAGGCAAGGCTGAGTCGGATCCAAGTGTCTTCCACCAGCGGGTAGTTCTCTTCCTTTGGCATAACAAAAAAACAAACAAACTGACATCCACTGCCTTCTACTAGGGCTTCTGCTTGAGAGCAGCTGTTCGGCCCCGCTGACCCCCACTCTGGACTGCACTGCAGGAACACTGCGGGGTGTGATTGTGCCTCCAGCTGTTCTCGTCAGTCTGGTGTGCACAGATGTGCTCCTGCTCCTACCAAGACCCAGTGTGAAGCACCACAGCATGTAATCACCCGACTAAAGACAAACCTGTTTTCATACCAGACTTTTATTAATAGTGCACTGTTAAATAAGCTGAAAGAGGCAAACGACAGTCTGCACAAAACTGTAAAGAGTTAGGTTTTGCCTTGTGTCTTTTGCCTTACCTGGTGCTCAGGATTCTTACCTTGCTGTAGAACAATCTGAACAGAAACCAGAAATTCTCTGTCAGCCTGGTGGAGGGGACCTCTCAGGGGAAACACTTCAGGTTTACAGTATGAGGCAGAAGGGGCATGGCCTTACGCCAATTTGCTTCACTTGAACCATCCTGGCAAAGATTCTGGGTCAAAATTATTTTTTAAGGAAATACTCCCTTAGGCTGACCAGCTGAAAGTTGAGGAAAGACCAGAGAACTGTGTACGGAAGGGATTTCACTCTACACAAGCATGAAAATACACCTTGCTGTCTCAGGGTTCAGCGGAGCAGTTCATGTGTGCGCTGCTGCAGGAGAGCACCCAGACGTGTGGGTGCAGTGCAGTGCTACAGAAAACATGCGGAGTACAGGCAGACATCAGGGTGTGGGCGGCAGTTGTGGCCAAACTGCAGAGAACACTTGTCTACAGCCTCCTCTGGGCTCCCTGGGTTTTCCGCCGATTTGAATGTTCACTCTCAGCAGTAAAACATTTTCTAAAAGCACAAATTGTTTTTTTTTCTACAAATGTATATAGTGAATTCTTTATATGTATAGACATACAAACCATCCTAACCCCCAGTTAGCAGTTTCTCCTGTACGTGTTGATAAGCTCTACCACGCCTGTCTCACAATGCACTCTGTACATATGGTCTGCCAGCACTGTACATGACTACTGGCCCACAGGTGACTGGCGTGAGGAATGTGGGGTTCTGTAGTCACAGAAGAGCCTCATCGCCCCCTTTCTCTGCCTGTGCAGACCGAGTAAAGCATCCTTGCGAAACAGTCACCCATGATGTTTCCGGCCATGTTTTTAATAAAGGCTTCTGAGTCACTGGTATACATGCAACTCAATGCTGTTAATGAATAAGAAGAATAAACTACAAAGTGAAATGATCATCCTGTCTGTCTTTTTTTTCCCCTATTATTTGTTGGGGAACAGATCTAGTCTAAAGTGTTTAAGATCCTGCCTCATCATAGCTCCAGTAGGCCAGTCCATTTCACTGCTCTCCTGTTTCCACACCCTGTCCACCCCCTGTGTCCTATATCCAAGCCAGTCCAGTGTAGCGGTCAGTCCACCCCCTGTGTCCTGTGTCCAATAAAGGCATGTTTATTGCAAAGGCTTTTCCTTGTCCTTTGTTCTGCCAATGCTCCTGTCTCCATGGCACGTCAGCTGGTTTGGAACTATAGCAATCTGAATAAAGACACCCTCATCTTTTCAGAATACCAGAGGTTTCCCCGGGCTGCTGTGGAGACGGGTCACACCGATGCAACTACAGCTTTGAAACAACATGATCCTCCTAACACAGGCCCAGAAAACCTGCTTGAGCCCAGATCCCAGGTCCCCAGATCCAAACCCGAGTTACACTGTTTCCACACGGAGGCCTGAGGTGCTGTTCAGTTGCCAAGGAAACCAGCGGCTGTGTCTGCAGGTCCTGTGGCGACAGGCCGCTTGTGTGCAGTCACACGTGATGTCGGCCCAGTTCAATACACTGCTCCTGGAGGCCAGTTTCACTCCAAATTAGCTCTTAAACCGGATAAGCCTTTTACTGGACATAATGTAACAACTTAGTTCACATACCCAAGCTTCAAACAAGCCTTGAAATCCTGTAGATGCACTGACTGGACACGGATCCATCTCTGAACGAGACGAAAATGATCTTCTGCGCCCCAATCCTCAGGATTCAAATACAGAGAAGCCTTCAAATGGAAATAAATTACATAATGCTATACCTTCTTTAAAGTGATATTGTTCCATAATTACTGCATATTTGTTGCAGATGGTCACAGCCCATTGAGCAAGACACACCGAACAGCCCCCTCTCGTTTGTAACCCACTAAAACTTCTAATTCCGCAAATCATGAGAGGAAAAACCAGCCCAGGGAAGATCACGTTTGAACAATTTATTTCCTTCATGATTCTTGGAGAGTTTCAAGACAACTGCTGAAAGAAATGAAGGTCTAGCAACCCCAGTTCCCCTTTGGGCTGGTCAGAGACAACGTACAGGTCCAACGTACCTCGCCATCCCGAAGTGCGGAGATCGCCAGGTCAGTGCGGTTCTGTTAAGTGGCGTGGTCAACTCTGAACTGACAGTCTTGGTTGAATAAATAACTTAAAGGAGCCGCAGCCTGGCCTAAAGAAGACAGAACACTCCCTGCAGGATAGAGCACTTCTAGTTTTATTTCGAAAACCATCCCGTCCCCTCACACCCCCTTCCCATGAACACTGCGCTGTCTTCCAAGTCACTGACGTTTACAAAAGAAGAACACTCTGCTTTAGTGTTTATTGCATTGCTGGCTCGCCGTGTCCGAAACTGCCTCGCTCACGCTGATCAGAGCAACGCCTCCCCTCGCCTACTGGACAGGTCCGTCTCTCGCCCGCACCAGCTCTGTCCACTGAACTGGCCAGCTAGACCTTGGACGCAGGGTTTCTCTTTTCCCAAGGACAGCTTGAAAGACACAAGAGCTGTAAGGTGAACCGTGATTAAAAAAAAAAAGTCTTTTCCGCGTCATCTGAGGATGGATCTGCACAGCAAACCTGTGTAGCCTGAAGCATATCTGGAAACAGCTGGAGTTGGTGATTATAAGCCCTTACAGCTGCTGCTTGTGTCCAGTGTCCAGGGCGAGGGGCACAGAGAGCACCTGCACTGCCAGCCTGCATGAGGACCAGCGACAGCGCCATCTTGTGGCCAGTCCATTAACACGGTTTCTGTCTGTCCGTTCCTTTTATCGACAACGTGGTCAGGTTCGGCTTTTACTGAAACGATGTTCTCAGATGCGTCCGGCGTGGCGAGAAAGTTGTGTGTGATCAGATATGATTGAGGCAAGTCTGCATGTTCTAGTTTTACTCCTTGTGTTTTCCCCTGTCAGAGCAGTTCATCGCAACGAAGTCCAGTCAGCTGCAGCTCCGCGTTGATCTGGCACCTTTCCTCCCCGTGGCAGCGTGGGTCAAAGGTCAAAGTGGTACGGGTTCTTTCTCCTGAAGCAGTCAAGTCCGTCCGTCAGCTTGTCGGTCCGTCGGCGAGTAGCATCAGCTCCCTGCCCAGTCCCGGGGTCACTGTAGCACCAGGCCCACCTGACAGGAAAAGCAGAGGACCAGCTCGTCAGTTGAGATGACCACAGCTCAGGCCCTCTCTCCAGCCCAGGCTCCATCTGGCCATGAGCCTGCTGGGAAACAGCGTCTCAGACGTTGACAGCACTGTCAGGCCCAGGACACTGAGCAGCAGGGCAGAGCGCAAAGAAATGCAGCAATTTCCTCAAAGCTCTGGTGAGACTAACACAACCAGCACCTGGCTGCACCAGTGACAGTGTTTCTGGACAGAAAGGCCGTTCCAGTAGTGACTCCACTGGCCCCCAACCCCCTCCCAGCTGTGCAGAATGCCTCTCCAAGGTTATCTGGCTCACAGTGCCCCCTAGTGGCAATCAGAAAAAAATAAATCCTCTTTCAATGTGACAGAGCCTGACCCCTGCAGTGCCATTGTGCTCACTGCATTCAGAAACAGCAAAACAATGAGGGAACACAAAGAGACAGTGACAATGCTGGCTTTCAAATGGCACAGGGTTTCAGAACAGTCAGCAAGAACTGAGGAAGGGTCATCAAATGGCTTTAAAATACTAAGAGCTAAAAAACCAAAACTTTTCATCTTAGTGAGGTCAATTCATTTGGGTACGATGTGCCACTGCTTTCAGACCCTCACAAAATGCAAACAGCAGATGGAGGTCAGAAGGCTGATGGCAAGTGTCCCTGGTGCTCCCCAGAGGCACACAGCGTTTACGCTTGGTCAGCAGTCGAGAGGAGGCCAGCGTGTCCCCTGCTGTGAGAGACCTGGCAGCAGTCACTGCAAAACACTCTGCCGCCAATTTCTAAAAATAAACTAAAGGGATCTTCTAGGACACTCTGACCTGATTTGGAATCGCCACTGTTTTCACGGGCTGGGCTTCCTGCCTTAACTGCAGGGCGACACCAGGGTGCTCCCTCTCCCTCGGGCCTCCGGCACGTTTACACCAGGGGCTTTTGCTCATTTGACACGGTCTGGGGGACTAGGGCTTGTCAACAGAGAGTAACTGCTCAGGTGCAGACGTCTCTGCTAGTTCCTAGCTGGGAGATTCCAGAGGGAATGTGACTTGGTTAAAGACAGTGTGGAGCAGCAGTCGGGGGGGAAACTTCACCCAAATCACTGCAGGGACCCCGAACGGCCCTGCAGCTGTATCAGTGGCTACCAGGAGACTAGAGCAGGGAGCAGTGCAGAGGTTCATTATCACTGACGACGAAAAACAGCTGTGAAACACAGGAAGGCTGCACAGCGGAAAGGCTGCAACTTTTCTGCGTCAGTGTGAAATTAACCTCTTCTCTAAAAATAGATAAACTGGTAGATAAACCACATGCTAAAGCAATGCCCTAATAAAAATCCATGTTCCTTCTATGACACGACAGTTCTATCCTGTATAAAGGCATCTTCGGTAGCAAACCCAACAAGAATCTCCACAGGACACTCAGCACGCAGACTCACCTTCTCTGCGCCCATGCTGGGACACTTCCAATTGTACAGGTAATACTGCAGGTTCCCATCTCCAATCCCAAACTTGAGCTTCTCCAGGAAGGTCTTGTTCTCCATCAGGTCCAGTGCATTGAAGACATCAAACCCTTTCTGCAGGAGAGGAGACAGGGAGACAAGGTCTATTTCCATGAGGTTACATACTTCTCAACCGAGTATGTGTTGCAACACCAGTAAGTTAATACTGCAAGACACTAACTTGAACACTTGGGCAAATCTCCTAACTTTCCGATTTCTTGTGCACCAAGAGGCTGTGATTGAGACAACCAATACCATGATCAATGTGGAGTTAACACACTATTATATAAGTGCCTCGGGGGCACATACTCAAACTTGGATGAAAGAATAAACGATGTGGAACGCAAACACCTGTAAAATGAAGACGCCGCCGTGCCGCGGCAAAGCTCACCGATTTGGCCAGGATGAGGGCGTCGCCCATGAGGTCCATGAGGGGCGCGACAGTGTGCACGTTGTAGAAGGAGTAGGCCGCCTTCAGGCTGCGGTGCACTGGGTGGTTCATGATGGTGGAGGGCAGGGTGTAGAAACTCAGGAAGTCCGTCACCACCCCCTCAGCATTCTGGGAAAACAGGCCAGGCAGTGAGTGATGAGAGGGGGGAAAGGTCAGGAACCGACGGCCGTGCCGGGCTGAGGGAGGCGCTAGTGAGCCTGAATTAAGAGTCTGGGATTGCAGATTGGAGAGACAACCCGGCAGATCTACAGGACAAACCAATTTTCCTGATCTGTCAGGGTGAGACTGCCCAGGAGCTGTGGCAGAGGGAGGCTGGCACGGGTTCGGATAGGCTGGCGCGGGTTCGGATAGGCTGGCGCGCTCACCTCCACCACGTAGGTGTCGATGATGTTCTCCTGGGGCAGCAGCCAGTGCTCCACCTCCTCCAGGCTCATCACCGGCGCCAGGTGAAACTGCTTCAGGTAGGCCTGTAGCAGCCGGTGCACCATGGCCACATCCTTCTTCTGCATGGGCCGCAGCCCCTGCGTCTTCGGGTTCTGGACAGAGAGGGAGACAGCTCGGATTGGAACCAGCGCTGCCCCGGAAAGCAGGGCCCGACCCCCCTCCTTATTACAGAACACTCCGGTCTGCCACTCCCAGCCGGGGAAACAGTGAACACACAGTTACGAGCCAATGGCCTGACCAGAGCAGGTAACCCTGGTGGCGACGCAGCGCGGGCACTGACCTCAGGCAGCCGGTACAGCTTCATGGTGCGTTGCATAGTCATGTTCCGGCTCAGGTGAGAGAACTTCACGTCGATGAGCTTCCGGGGGTTCAGGGAGCGGTGCCAGTACCTGCCAACGCCACAGTCGCACACAGACACAGATCAGTGGGCAGAGCTAGAGAACCTGAGAGCCTGCCACCGTCTGGAGCAACAGATTCAAGCGCACGCCCATCCCTGACCTCTGCACCCAAGACATGCACGCCAAGCACACTACAGGCTTCGTGGCACAGTAACTTCCTCGGGACAGGACGCTGCAGACTAAAACCCACCCATCCGATCAGGGCTGGACAGAGGTGTGCTGACCCTCACGGGAGAAGCGGACCTGACTGAAGACTTTCCAAACCAGCCTGCCTGGTATTTTGCTAGGGGCTCACCTGCAGGTGCCCACAGGCTTGGGCAGCACCACACCAGCAGTGTAGACAGCCTGGAAGATGCCCTGCAGGTTGACCCGCCTGGTGATCTCCCGGATCAGCACCGGTGCCACCCGCTTGGAGCGCAGCTTCTTGTGCACGCAGAGGAAGTTGATTTCCACCATCTTCTTCTCTCTGGAGCGAGGGAGGGAGGCGGAGAGAGAAAAGAGGCTTTTTCAAGGACAATACCACAATACCACTTCACACCAGGCAGGCCTGGCTGCTAGCGGCACCGAAGGTGTAAAAGCATTGACACAAAACCTCGTCGAACACAAATCGTGGCCTTGGAGAGCTACAGTGCCATCTTAGAAAACAAGAACGGTTACAGATGAGAGGAGCCATTTGGCCCATCTTGCCAGTCAGCTAGATAAGTGACTATTTCAGCCAAAGAGCTCATGATCTCAGCTGTTTCCTGAAAGAAGCAGTGTGTCGGTTTCAACAACATGGCAGGCAGCTTGTTCCCTACTCCCACCACCCTTCTGGTTTTCCAAACCAGCCATCAATTACTTGAGTCGCCCACTTGCTTAACTAGACAGGAATAATAACAATGATAAGAATAATGTGAGTAAGGAAGGCATGGATAGCGATTATTCGGAGTCCATGACTGTTAAAAGCCAGGGGGATATTTGGTCAGGACACTGGCTTTATCAGCCCAAAAAAAACTTTAAAGCATTGGAACTCTCCAACACCAAGGTTAGTGCAGTAGAGTAATATAATGATTAGGAAATGAATACATTAGAAATAGCAGAGATAACAAGGATTTCATCCTGTGTGCACCTTTCTGCTGATAATATCAGATGACCAGCCTGTGAAACTGTTGGAAGCAATACAGTACAAGCTGTATGTTGTCAACCTTCCTCAATTTCACTTTTCATTGTCCCATTGAAAAAAAACTACCAGAGAAATGACTAAAGAGCCCGAGCTCCAGTAACGCAAATGACACTGGGGAGGGCTGCAGTGAGAGTGTGAGCGTGGAGAGAGGCAGGTGCGTGGAGCAGGCGGGTCAAGTGGGCAGTGGCTGCCACTCACATGTCGTAGATGCGGATGGAGGCAGGAATGGCACTGATGAACCCGACCAGCTTCTTATTGGACACCACCCTCACTCCGCAGTGCCACTGAGGCAGCCAGCCAGGGGGGCGCAGCGCCCTGCCAGGAGAGAGAGAGACAGGGGGAGGCGATGATCTCCAGACACTGCTGTGCAGGACCCCAGTCCTGTAGGATTCTTCTACAGCAGTTTTCATGGTGTGCAGAAATAATACCCAACTGCGATGCCTCTTTTTCGGACATCTCGGACAAGCTTTGTGCCGTCTCTCTAGACCACAGTGCATGAAAGGCACTTCTAGAAATACAAGTCTGGGGACAGTCACTAAGTGCCAACGTTAACAAGTATTTTCTGACCTGTGTGAGCTGCAGGTGGCAGAAAGGGCCTAACAACATCACGCTGATGTGACATGTCTACAGAACCTGCTCGTTTTAAAGCACGTTTGCATCTGCGCACATTAGTGGAGCAGACGCTAAAATGTGTGTGTGTTTGAGACTGATCCAGATCCCGATCCCAACAGGTGAAGCAGCTGATGTACCCAGGGCACAGGGCGCCGGAGGCAGTGCCACTCACCAGAGCAGGAATTCGGGGGAGTAATCGAAGCGGAACATGTTGTCGTCGTCCTCCACGTAGTTCTCATTCAGCAGAGTGTAGAGCTCCTTCAGCTGCCGGCGACAGAGAGGAGGGAGGGTGACATGGGGCTCCTGCACGTTCCAGCACAGCAAAACGGGGGGACAGAACCGCTCGCACCCGGCTGCCTGCCAGAGGGGCCGAGCGAGACACATCGCTGCCCACGTCCAGTGGGCCGCTGGACTTCCACAGCCGAGGGCACGGCGATGCTCTCTGTTCACGCAGCAGGGCGACTCTCTGAGGGCTCACGTGCACATGCAGCACGCCGAGAACAGGGGATCCAAAGCTAACCGAACAGGACTGGCATCCCACCCCAGGGTGTGTCCCACCTCGCGCCCGTTGCTGGTCTCTTCCGACCATCCACGGCTTATCCAACACACAGTCGCAGGGGAGCCAGTCTCTTTAGAGAATGGATGGATGGTGCCCAGGACCAGATTTAATTTCCCGCTCAACAAAGTTTTCTAACGATTAACAACAAATGCAGGTCTTCCCCTTTCCCAACGGTCTTCCTCAGCTAATACTTGCATGGCATGAAACCGACCGGAGGGAAGCCGGTCCACATGGAAATCGACTCTGGACCTACTAGCAGCCAAGAACTCAACAGGAAGCACAGCTGTCTGAGACGGGCCAAGAGCGAGGCCTGTGCATCAACCGGCACCAGAAACCCCCTGGAGCAGAAGGAAGGGGCAGCTCACCACAGCAGAGTTGCCCAGGTCCAGGGTGTCCCAGATGAAGCCCTGGGGCAGGCTGTAGGGCTCCGTGCGGATGTTGTCCTTATCGGGCTCGATGGAGCCATGCGACATCACCACCTCTCCTGCAAACAGAGCCGGGACACGCAGGTCAGCCAGAGCGTCTGCTCCGCTGTCTCGAGTAGGTTAGTACCTGCAGTACACACTGTAGTTACTGATGAAAAGGAGAGCCTTGGTCCTTGATTTGCATTGCAACAACTTAACTGGATTGTTCCCGGACCCGGAATGTCCCCCTCCCTCCTGGTCAGGTCTTAATGACCAATGAGCAGGAGAAAACTGGAGGACAGGTGGGAATGATGCTGGTTACGAGGGCCATGCTGAGAAAAACATCTAACTGTGGGACAGCAGGGCATGAGGCACAGTGGGTCCCCAGGAAAGTCCAGGATCGCCCTGCTGATGGTACCAGTCACAGCAGCGCCAGGGACAGTACATAACTGCAATAAGGAGGCCCCGGCACACTGGAAGAAACGGATCTCCTTCACCCCAGGTGCAGACTGTCCAAGGTCGCTCTTGTCACCTGACAAAAACCCGCCTCCCCTCCCTCGGCGCCCTGCCCTCCTGACTCACCCAGCTTGGGGACGGGCTGCGTGTCCCAGAACTGGTAGCTGCGGCGGCTGGCCTCCTCCATGGTCTTGGCAGGCCCCTGGCCCACGGAGAAGAGCTCGATGGCCTTCTGGATCTCCTGCAGCTTGTCCGCGGGCAGAGAGTTCACCTGCGGTGGGAGGGGGGGGGGGGGGGGACAGAGGTCAGAGGTCAGAGAGGCCAACTATGTGACAGGAACCACCTGCAGGTGGAGTCTAACAGCCGGCCTGTCCAGCTTCTGAGGTCAAAGGTCACATTGGCACAGCCGGCCAGATTTATAACTCCTTGCCTTAGATGGTTGTGTTGCCCTTTGAGCTAATTAAGAGTCGGCTTGAAGGCTGCAAATTTTTTAATGACACAGAAAGTACAATGTACCAAGCCATGCATCTACCTTGTATATTCATGGTAAGATCTTACAGGTCTGGAAAAATGTGAATGTTATTACAACGCCCACCCACTCCAACATTCAGCCTGCAATGACTGGAGGGCGGGAGAACAGGGTCAGGGACAAACACCACAACCAAACCACAAACCGCAGCACAGAGACGCACACCTGAGGTGCTCAGAGCCAGATCTGAGCTTTACTAAACACGTGTCCTTGAGACTTTGAAAGACTTCCGTCAGGACCGATCTGCGCCTTCACCACAGCCCCGACACCCTGCTACGGGACGTCCGGCCGGTGCTGGGGCTCACCTTGGCCGACTGGTCCTGCGCCACGTCCTTCCCCCCCGCTTTCTCCTTCTTCCTCCTCTGTTTCTTCTTCTTCTTCTTGGCTCCACCATCATCCGCTGGGCTCTTCTCCCTGCGGGCAGAGGGACACAGCCGCCGGTCAGCCTCCTGCTCGCGCCCGGGGACACGAGGGACAGCCAGGGCCCTCGGAGGTCCGGCACCAGCAGCGGGACCACCCTTCCATCCGCAGTATGAACTGGACAGAAGGACGGTGCCGAACAAGAGCTCGGCCTCTCGCCCACCTAGCCCGTTCGGAAGTTAACAGATCCCAAATCAAATCCCATGCCCTCATCCGACACGTCCTGGAAGAAGCCAGGGTACCAGCTTCAACAACCGGGTTGGGCAGCTTGTTCCAGACTTCCGCCACCCTTTGTGTAAAGCGCTGTTCCCTGTGCTCTGGGGTTAAATGAGAGCAGGGTGTGAGCATTTCTCATGTTCAGCCATGTTACGTGTTACCCTGCGTCAATGGGGCGACAGGAGCTGTGAACCCTGAGTGTTCGATGGCTTTTAAAGCGTATCAGGATAGCGAATCTAAAGACCTGATTCCCTATTCTACGAAGCCCACGGCAGCTTGCAAACAGACATTCTAACAGATTAATAACGCAAAGCACCTGTCCACATCTACTGCCAAAAGGGCAAGGGGGCATAAAACTAATAAACTCCAGACATCCTATTGCTTTCAACAAAAATAAACTTACAGTTAGCACAGCCTGGACTACTGAGGGATGATGCACTCTTTCACCTTAAAATGATATTCCTTTTCTCTTCACACAAAGTGCAGTCAAGTCCATTCATTCTTAGACATCTGCAGCGGATCCAATCAGAATCTGAACACAGATGTGCCGCTGTGCAACACGAGCAAAGGGTAGTACTTCCCCAGACAGGCTGCTTGAGCCTAAACCACCGGGCTGCAACCACTCGGGGAGGGCAGAGACACCACCATGCAATGCTCAAACTGAGATGCCAAAGCACTGCAGCCACACAATACTACAGATATTAAAAATATTTTACCAAACATTTGCAATTTCTAAGTGTTCTTTGCACTAGTAGCAGGATTTCATGCAGCATTTCAAACCAAGCCCAGCATGGATGGGATGCCAGCACGTGATGTGGACACAGAGCCCAGCACCTCTCCTGCCCCGACCCCAACCCGTGCACCACTCACAAGGCTCTCAGGAATGTCCACCGAAGAGCAGCAGAGCGCACACAGCCTTGAGGCGCTGCAGGAAAGGCCCGACTCCCCCGACAACGACTTTCCTGCACCACGCTGCTTTTACAGCACTGCACGACTTCAGTTTTCAGGCACTGCGCTGCGGCGTGGAGAGGGAATGGATGTAAATCCTCCCAGCCCTCTGCAGGCGGCCATCCTCGCCGGGGCAGGTGTGTGCGAGACGGGGTGTTACACCCGCCAGGGGGCTTTTACAACAGCACGACAAGAAGAGGGAGGAGCGCGCACTCCGGGCGCGCTCTCGCCCGCCCCTTCCGCCTCGGGCACGGCCCGCGCCCGCGCCCCCGCAGCCCGAGCGAGGGGACAGACTGGACACGCGGACCGGGCAGGGCGGGACGCGGCGATGACGTCATCACCGCCGAGCCCCCCGGTTTCAAACTCCTCGCCGGACCCTCCGACCCCGAGCAGAGCCGCTGCATCCTCACGACGTGCGACACAGAGCCGAGACCTGTCAGCTACAGCTATTATTCTGATGTTTATTTTTTTTCCTGCATTTGGTTGTCTTTTATGCACCACTCATACGAATCCCTGACCGAATATGTGGTTCTGCGTCAGTAATCAGCGTGTGTAGCCCCGTGACTGATTAAATTGGGTGCATTAATTAGACTTGTACCGTTTCCAGCCTAACGGGAAAGCAATATGCTTTCCTGTCAAATGTGGCTACAGTCATAGTGCAAACCGTTTTAGATTTATTTTTACGAGCTGAGCTTTCAGTTTCCATCCGTGCCCCGGCTTTGCCACTACAGAAAGTCACAGACCCCAAGACCCGCCCCCCACCACGATGGATCTGTCTTCCCACCAGTCAGATCCCAGAGCTCGCTGTCAATCCAACCACCCCTCCAATCAAACGCGACAAAGGGGGCAGGCCTGCACGGATTATGCTGTTTCAACCCGGCTGTACTACATCGCTTTATTGTCACGCCGTATAGCAATAAACCCTATTTTGCACACAACCAAAAATAGCCGCCAACGTTCATACCCATCACTGAAGTGGTGCTCCTCATTCTCACAGTCACTGCAGTGGCCGTGGTCGTCTTCTACCTCGTCCTGTCTCTCCGGTTTCGGTGCTGTCTCATTCTCGTCCGCCATCTTTAACCAGGAACTAAGGGACGCTCCGACCCCGCAGTATCTGTCGCGGCTATTGGCCGGGCGGCGCGGTGGCTGCTGGTAAATGTAGTCTTGGGGCTTAATGCCCCAACACATGGCCTGTGCTGTGTCTCGGTGTGTGTGTGTGTACTGGTTGTTTTCAAGTTAGGATACTCAGTTCTGCTGTGAATTAAAGTGCATAAACTTTGTCTTTACCTGAAGTGCATAAAGGTGTAGTGTTTCGGTTTAGTCGTGACCTGAAGTATATATATAGTTTAAAGTTAATAGTTTGTTTTTTTATTTCTTGAAGATTTGTGTAATCTGAAAGATCTGGTCCATAAAAAGGATCACGGTCACGTATCTGTTTTGCTGTTTCAGGAAATAAGTTTCTGCATAAAGTATCTACTTGGCACATATACGAGCAAATGGGAAACAGAATAAAAAATAAGCATTTAATGTTAAGTAATTTTCGTTTCAGTCAATTGCACCTGAGAATCGCGTTTCTTCGTGACAGGAAGTAAAGCGACCCTTCCACACTTTTCGAGTCAGCCACCAGATGGCGATGTTGTAGCTGGTTTGAAGTCTGTACCAACAATAAGATTCTGGTTGTGCGATTTGCAATCTTCAGATTTAGTTGATTTACTGGTTCTGTCATCACTTCATACCTCGAGTCTTTGAAACACAGCTGCGGGCATCTAAAACATTTCACAGAAGAACAGGCCTAAGTGAAAAACAAAAGAGATTTCAACATCTATCACTTCTTCACACCCCAGTGGAAGTACTTCAGTGGAATTTTGTTTTGCTGTCTTTTTCCTGTTTCTGTTATCAGCAGTGATTGAGGAGGTCTTAACTTTCCTTTCTCAAGATAAGAATAATACCACTGGCTGGAAAATTGCTTAATGTTGTGCTTATCTGCAAAATGTATAATAGACCAATACGCCTCATTATATTGCATGTAAGGTTTACAGATTAATTGTGCAGAAGGTAAAATGTTTAAGGTACTGCATGTATTTGATTTGAGAAATGGTTAACCAATAGGAAACAGTTTAAATGAGAGGTAAATGCCCTGTGATCTTTTTCTAATCTGTATCAAAGATCAACTGACTAGCAAACAGGACAGTTTTGCAGATGAAGCCAAAACAAAAGGATGAGCAAATTCTGTATAAATTTCAATGGGAATTCAGAAAGACTGAAACCAAAATTCAAAATGGATCAAACCCCTGGCAGGTGATGATTAATTTGACAAGTGCAGGGTGTGAAATGCAGGCAGCAAAAACATAAACTGCAAATATAAATTAAGAAACTACTTGTGAAAATACAACTAGTATCATCATTGCTTTAAATAATATGTAGACGTGTATTCATGTGTAAAGGCCAGTTCTAAAATCCGTAAAGCAGGGGTCTCCACCCCAGATCTTGGTGAACCAGTTCAGTTTGTTTCATAGGGCACTGTAAAACCACAGGTCTGTCTAAAACTCTGGTCCTTGCATGTTCTAAACGATCTCTGAGTTAATTAAGCGCTTGTTTAACATCACATTTCTCCAAATTCTGCAGATTAGTGAAGGTCTGATGGCTGCTTATAAATCCTGCTGGACAGCTGCTGATTTTGAGGAGACCAAGAAAATCTGCATCAGCCTTCAGCATGAGGACTCCTGTAGTAACCCTGAACCTTGAGAAGCCTGGGTGCACTTGGTAGTCATTTAGATCAGATCAGATCACTTTATTGGCCATATACAATTTCTTGTTTTAGGAATTTGTCTTTTTTTTCGTATACCCCAACTTGCTCTCCATGGGACACACGGACAGGGAGAGAAGCTTGGGGTCAGAGCGCTGGGTCAGTCATTTATATGGGGCCCCAGGAGCAGCTAGGGTTAAGGGCCTTGCTCACGTATCAATAATACAAACAGATCACACGCCTCAGGCCTGCTCTGAACAATACCAGCTAATGTACCTACACTACCCACATCTTGCACATTATTCCAGGAGGGCAAGTTTTGACTAGAAAGGACTGCTGTATGAAACTTTGATTTTAATAATATTAATAATAACAATAATAATTGCTTACACTTATATAGCGCTTTTCTGGACACTCCACTCAAAGCGCTTTACAGGTAATGGGGTCTCCCCTCTACCACCAGCTCCAGTGTGCAGCATCCACCTGGATGATGCGACGGCAGCCATAGTGCGCCAGAACGCTCACCACACATCAGCTATCAGCTATTTTAAGCTGCAGGGAGAAAATTCTGAAGCAAATCCCTCATTTTACTGTAAAATATGCTAAATATAGTCAAGAAACTAAGACACCAGATCTGCACCCAAGCACAGCAGGGGAAATTAAGGATCTTTTTAACAAATGATTTGGAAGACAGAATAAATCCAGGGTCCCAAGACTGAGAGCACTGTCATTGTCCCCCACAGCACCTCTCACTGGGCTTCACATGCCTTGACCTTCATCCTCTTCACTAGGATGCTGCTCAGTCGCGTGAATCCAAAACACATTAACAACTTTTCCTGGAATTAAAGGAAAGTTTATTGTCTCATTTCGGAACTGATGCTGAACTCAGGAGAGCTCACAATGTGCACACCTGCCTGTGGACACTGCTGCCTAGCTCTGATGCCATTGTGTTTTTTGTCTTACTAACATGCTCTGAAAGACATCTTTAAACAAAGCATGTCTAATATCATTGTGCAGATCAGACCTCAAAGTTCAGCATATCTGCACAGACAAAAGCTCTGTACCTGAAACAGAACTGGGAGATTGAGAGCCTGGTGTATGTGGACAGGGTGCACAATCGATCTGGTTTCTTTTTGAAGATAATGGACACAAAAATAGCACGTGAAGCAAAGAGTTGAATAGAGGTATGGAAAACAGAATTTACCCTCTCTTTTACTTAATCAAATATTAGTACTTGAAAACTGATCCAAACTTCAGTATGTGTTGAGATTGCATCAATGCAAAACAGTTTTGAAAAATGTCCTATGAAATTTAACATTATCATAAACATAAATAAAATAAACAAACTAAAAGGCACAAATACAGGGATTGTCAAACTTAAACAGATATCACAGAAAAGTAGAACACACATCTAAGCAAAGAAAACCTCTTGTCCACAAACAACATAGGGCACCATTGCTGTCATACATAGATATTGGAGGAAACAATTGTGAGACGTTCAGACAGAGGAAATTGTGGGACTTTCAGACAACAGTGTTACCAATGTTATAGTGCCAGATCCTGCTGTGCACACGGGCTCATCCCTTGACTAATTTAGAGTATAAATCACATAATACTTGTCAGTACAAAGGGCTGATAAACAATAAATACCATAACTGGAGGTGGGGATACACTGAGCACTCAGTAAGTAATCTGATTACACTATCAAGTTAATTTGGTGAGCCTTTTAATTACAAGAAGCTCTACAAAACACGAAAGCTATAAAACCAACCGCAGTCTTAGTGTTGTTCCAGAAGGCAGCGAGGAGACAGTTAGGGGAGTGTTGTGCAGCAGGTATGACTGTTTAAAGACTCTTCAGAGATGAAGTACAGTTAAGACAAGCAGCTCTTGCTCCTGGACAGATCCCCACTGTGTCCCGTATAGCCGGACTTGGGTGGATAGGGATCCTATGCGAGGCACTTCTGATACGCAGCTCAGGGAGGAGGCCTCAATCGTGAGCGAGGAAGGGAAGACTAGTGAGGGTTTAAATAGTGCTGAGTAGATCGGTGTGTGGACGTTTAGGGAGAGAAGAGCTCGTGGGACTGTGGGAGCGCTTACTTCCCCTTTGTGCGATTCGTGACACACTGCTAATGAGCAGTGAATTTCAGCTTCTGAGATAAAATGGCGTTACAGTGCTGTGTCTCTGCACCAGGGGCCTTTAATTAGCCACTGACTGGCAAGTAAAAAACACAGGTGGTTTAACTTCTCATCCAAACATGGAGTTCAATTAAGCGATGAAGTTCAGAGTTCCAGGACACGGGCTCTCGAGGACTCAAATTGCCCACCCCTGTCAGGCACAAGGGCAAGGGAGATTTTAAACAGGAAGAAGTTGAAAAATGAAAAAAAACCAAGACATTTCTTAACAAAACTCATTTCATGGAGCCATGTTCTATGAAAGCTGCCAGTTCACAGCTCTCTTGAATTCAAGAGGCAGGCTTTCGCTGGTCAAATTTGTGGTTTGTTTGCTCTTTGTGTTCTGAGTCATCAAACTAAAATTTAAAAATTACAGCAGCTCATTTTTCATTTTGATGTTGATTTTCTGGTGGACCTGCCCTGGACTAAACAGACTGTGAGCCAGTGAGAGGTGTCCACATCTCAGGGAAAGACAGCCGCTGTTCCTGGCAGTTGCTTCCTGCACCTCAGGGATAGGGATGTGGATCAGCTGCTTCCCAGAGACTGAGCTGAGCACAGGAGCCTTAGTCTGGTTCTGCTCCTTCATGACAAATTGCTCCAGTAGCCCCTGCTCAAAAGCAGCAGCACTGGAATGAAGCCTGGTCACATAAACCTAGAAGCTCCGGAGACAGATCACAACTGTTAAGTTACTCTTTACATTTAAAAAAATATAACTGGAGTATTACATCTCTGCAAAATTGCATATCAAATATTGCTAATTTATCGTGTAAAATAATAAAATCAAATCAAATAAAAAAGGTCAGCTTTCTTAGCTTGATAAGCTGGTGAAATAAAAGAGTGAAAGTCCTGCCAGCGAGGCTGCTACTGTCCTCAAACACTCGACAAGCAGAGCACCCCAATGTCCGGACAGGGCCAGGGACACCCCTGGATTTCCATGAGAACAAGCTCCCTGGTGCTTCTCTCTCCGAGCTCCAGCCAGCTTGGTATTGGACCTGTCCTGGTCCCACAGGGGTAGGACCGATGATGACCAATGGGGCTTGCCTTCTCTCTGGAGGGGGTTCCTTTGAGCTGCTGAACGAGACGCTGCCAGCGTCCCCTCATCACCCCTGTCACTGTGTGTGCGCTGGCCAGGGACCGGAGCACGGGGCTCACGCAGGTCACGGGGACACAGGCTTGGTGGATCCCAGGGCAGAGACCTTGACGTGGATGAAGAGGGTGGCGGGGGACAAGGAGCAGCCGTCCTCTTTCAGCAGGTGCACGTGTCGGAATCCTGGAAGACAGAGGGGTTAGAGGTCAGGGGTAAAAGGTCGTAGAAGCTGGAAAGGAGGGGTGCCTGTGTTGCTTACATAAAACATGACACTGCAAAGTAACGATGAACCCTGACTATTCTTTCTATATTAGATATACAAAAAAGAACAGTGCAGTAGTTAGCTAATTGATCCCAGGATCTTATCCATCTGTTTATTGAAAGAAGTCAGTGTATCAGCTTCAACAACACTGCAACATTCCCTACTCCCACCACCCTTTATGTAAGGGGTGCCTCCTCTTTTAAATGCACTTCAGTTAATGTTTTCAGTTGTGGAAATCTGTTTTGTTTGTTGTGTTACTTTTTCTGAAGAAATTTGCTGCATTAACTTTGTCAGTGTCTTTGAGGATTGTGAATATTTGTATCAGGCCCCCCTATCATTGTCTTCCTCTGTTAAAGACTAAAAAGGTTCAGCTCCTTCAGTCTGTCAGTGTAGGACAGACTGTTCCAACAAATATGTGGTGGACTAAGGATATTTCTGTTATTTAGAAAGACTGAAAACTCTTGGCTCTGGCTATTTCAAAGTTCTCATTAAGAGCCTATTGGTCACACAAGTACATGTCTATATAGCAGCTTTAAACAAAAACCTGAGAAAGCCAGGAATTTTCCCATTTTCATTTTTCAATAACAGGTGGTCAGAGCTCTTGACTGACAACTAAAAAATGTTAACTCTTGGATTCTGACTGTGTGGGGCTTTAAGAGGACGAGGTTTGCTGAAAGAGGCCTTGACCATTAGGCTAAGTACACACTCCCCCTTCCTGTGCCCTGATACACAAGTCAACACTCCCTGTTGACACAGCAGCGCGTGGTATGACTCAACAGTAGTACAACACAGAGAGCTGTCCATCCACATGCCATGCTCATGCCATGATCTTTTTTCCACTTTCCAGGAGAGCGAATGTTCTGCTCATTGACTGCCCAGTGAGGCTGCCCGTCCCAGGGAGCAGAGCCAGACAGACCCAGAGAGAGCGGGAGAGATAGGAAATCAGGCCGACATTACCTCTGCGCAGGCTGGTGAAGGGCAGAGTGAACTGGCCCACAAAGTCATTACTGGAGGCCATGTCATGATCTTCCACCACAAATCGGATCAGAGCTAGCTCAGGCACCTGGATCTTGAAGGACAGAGTGCAATTCCACAGTGGATTGAACCCTGCAGGCCACAGGAGGACAGTTATCAGCACACAGCAGTCATCCCCTTGCCCAGGCAGGACCCCCAGAGCAAAGGCCTTGTTAACGTTGCTGCAGCACACAGTCTCTTTAGAGATTAAGATGTCTTTTCTCAAGAGAAGCTGTAGAGCAGGAAACAAACTGTAAGCGGATTAATGGAGGGCGTAATTAATGTTCCTGTTGGCAATCTGACCCCAGATTTAGCTGTTTTATCTCCAGCTCAGGACAGACCAGTTCAATCGATTTACACTACACACAGAACACATCGACCACAGTGATGAGAGAGCTTCAACAAACTGATAACTGTAGCAATGATTATTAAGAGGCACAATGATCCCCACTCCACAAAATTCATACATGGGTAAAAGGAAAAGTCGTCAGGATGCCAGAATCCAGCAGGAATCAATGTTGGTTTTGATAAGAAGTACAATACAGACTGGAGTTAATGGGAAAATAAGAACAAATCCTCAGTGTCAAGTCCAACACAACTGCTTTAAAATACATTGCTCTCTTAATCTGCTTTGCACTACATTTTTTGACATTATTGATGCAACAGGGTCCTTGCTTTAAGGTATTGTTACAGGCTGGTTAGGAAGATGAGAGCAAATTTCGTTTCAAATTCAGAAAGGAAACTGGTGCTTTTGCACACTTTAATTTTTCCTCACAGAAAAACAAGATCAAAACAAACTGTTCTTTTCTGTCAGCTGCTGTCTTCTCCTTTGTCTGCTTCCTTTCCTGACTCATTGTCTCTCTCATTCACTCCCCCTTGGAGTCTGGACTTTGTACTGAGCCCAGACTCCAAGGGGGAGTACTGAGAGTTTCGAGCCATCTGGGATCACCACAGCCACTACCAACAGCTGTGCGCTCTCGGCGGCATACCGTTGTTAGTGATGTAGGGCGTCTCGGCCTTGGTGGTGTCGGACGACACCCCGTGCACCTCGATCCGGACCAGGGGGTCCACAATGGAGTTGGGCTTGTCGGTGTTCAGCTTGGGCAGCTGCTGGGCGGAGATCACCTGGTAGAGGAAGGACAGACTGTGGTCAATGAGTCAAGTAAAAGTACTGGAGAAATTCATTACTTTTAAAGATAAACTAGTTCTAGCTACCATTATCAGTGGGTGAGCTAACACATTGTTTTACACAGACAGTGATGTTTTTCAATAGAATGTGTTCCTGAATTCCATGAGCTCTTGGAAACAGCAGCGGTCTGTAGGCTCCCTGCTCTGGGCAGTGTGAAAGAGTGCCACGGAAGAAGATGTACACAAAGCTATAATTTTGTAACAATATGAAGAGTTTATTCAGCAGGGACTAAGCTGACACAGTCTGGATTTCATAGCACTTGTGCAATTGGATATTCTGTAAGCAAGGAAAACAAGGTTTTAGCAAGTATCTAAAGCTCAAACACTCAACATCCCAAGCTAGTCTCAAACCAACACACCCTTCTGCTCCCTATGGCATCATGATAGTTAACCTTTTACATGGTAACCTCTGCCCCTTCTGCTTATAGGTCATCTGATCTGTTAAAGTGGTATCCATCCATCCACACATTTTCTAACTGCTTTATCCAGTTCAGGGTTGCAGGAGAGCTGCATCCAATCCCAGCAAGCAATGGGTACAAGGCAGGATACACCTTGGATGGGATGCCAGTCCATCACAGGGCACACAGACACAAACTCACAACAGGGCCAATTATTCCAGAAGCTAATTAACTAACCCCTACACCACTGTGCCTCCCCTGAAACTGTATCCTTTCTCCTTCACAAACAACAGCAAACAATTATAACCAGCAAATACACATTTACACTCATTCACTTGAACCCGGTCTCTGTCCTAATGGTGTCTGTCAGTCTTGTATCAACATAGATGTGTCACCAATATTGAGTTTACTATTCGAACAAAGAGACCTAGTTGTACAAGAAAAGGGATACCACTTCCCCTCCACGCCACTAGATGATGATGTTGCAGATAAGGACAACAATGTTTACCTGCATTAGCTCTGGAAGGCCATGTGGAGCTCAATATGCAGGTCTAGTAATTTACAGGAAAGTTACAGAAATACATATCCACCATTTTAACAGAATAATTATTGTTTTTTTGTATATTGCACATGGCTTCTGGGAAATATAGGTATTTTCTTGCAATTATGGGGGTGGTGTGAAAGCAGACAAGTTTGTTCAGTCTATAATAAATGTCTGCTTACAGGCTATGTGAGAGGGTTCCATCACAACCACAGAAGACAAGATAATAATCTGAACACAGATAATAGGGTTCCTGCAGCTTGACAGCTATTACATTCCAAGACAGTTGTAATTACATAAGCTTGCAACTGTCACTATAATTGTCTGAGATAAGCTCTTCATAAACCTTTCCGCTCTCCTGAATCAGGATTGCGATTCCTGATAAAAAACTGATTGGAAAGAGGCTTCCCTGACAGCCTGAATGTACAAACTGGTAAGGACCGTCCTGTAGGCACACCAGCGAGGTTACATCTTCCCCTGGGACAGTCCTGAAGGCAGGCCTGCTGTGGCTGCTGTCCACCTCCCCTCCCCCACAAATCCCACAACTGCCCTCTCTCCCACCTTGATGGTCAGCTGTGTGGGCTGGTAGCCTGGGCCCTGCAGGGGGTTCTCGGGGTCGAAGGTCGAGTTCTCAGCGCGCAGGAAGGCGGGTTTGAGGATGTAGCCACAGTGGCCGTTGGGAAGGAAACGTCCCTGGTTCAGATCCATCTGCTCCCCTGGGGTCTGGAAGTTGAGCGCCACTGTGGGACACAAGACACATCCATCATCTTCATCATCGTTAACATCACCATTGTTGTCACCCTCTTCGTCATCATTGTCATTGAAATCATCATCTTCATGATCGTCATTGCCATCGTCATCATCGGCGTCATCAGAGAGTCACTTACGCCAGAAGAACAGGGCACAAGTAGGGACCACACTCAGATGAAGCAGTGTGGCTCAAGAACTATTTAATTGGAGGAATGAAAGAGATTTTTTGTTGTTCGGATGCTGACCAATCTGACAGCCGCAGTTCCACATGTCCTGGGGGTTGTAGTTGGAGGACTGGATTCGCTGCCCAGAGGGGTAAATTCGACTCAGCTGCCGCGTGTTGTGCTGCACAAAGGCCGTTCCTGTGGAAGCAAAGTGTCTTAGCAAGTTATGAGTTTTACATACATGACATAAAGGAAACTCCCTTCAGCACTGAGAGAGGAAGACCAGACACCTTGCTCCCACAACAAGCAGGGTGTAATCAGTGCAAAGTTCTCATGAAACTGAGCAAATGCTGAAACAACTCGGATGTCTGTTTATACCTTATGTTTAAACTGCTTTTCGCTAGGCTGAAAAGAGAAGAAAAAAAACAAAACGTTTCGTCTGTCGAACCTTCTTCGAAAGCCACCCGAAGAAGGCTCCACAGCTGAAACGTTGTTTCTTTTCCGCTCAAATAAACCTTTACTTGTTCCTTTGCAGCCTACGCATGCTGACACAGCTACCTGCTCGAACTGCTTTTCGCTATTACACAGCCCAGCCACTGTTACTGTAGGTCCATAAGCCCATGAGATGCTTTGTTGAATAGAGTAAATTGGGGACACTGGGTGAAATAAATGCTGAAAGCTGGCAGATTCATGCCCCCCCATAAGCACCTGATTCCTTGATGTGGCGCTGGGCTTCGCTCTCGGAGAAGGACGACATCTCGTTGGGCAGCTGGGCCGCCTGCTCAAAGCCCCGGAACGGGGTGCTGCGGCAGTATACCACCAGCTCGGACAGCTCCGGGCTCAGCTTGGAGGTGCCGGCCTGCGGGCAGACAGACGCACTGGGCAACGGGGCAGAGCTCCTGCTGGCATGAGAGGGTCTGCCCCCTCGGTCACACCGCCTTTAAAATGGGTCTTCCTCGGACGTTCAGCTGTCCCTCTTGCACTGCCCTCTGCATTTTGAGAGCTCTTGCCTATTGCAGGGAGGACTGTATGTCCTTAAAGAATGGGCTTAATGGGACAAATTTAACAACTTAACAGCTTCTCCGAGTTCTTTAGGGGCTGCTGCTTTGAAGAAACCAAGGAACCCTGCAGAGACACCAACCCTGCAGATCTACGGTTGCCCACCTCTGGTCCATACATACACAGGAGAAGCACAGAGCAATTCTTCTTTTGAACCAGGCGGCACAAGAATGTCTTTACAAGTAGAAAGATGTGTGAAGTCTTTCATGTCCTCATCTACTGGTGCCGTTTGGCTCCAAAGTTTAGGGGAACTATTTGCAAACTAGGAATATCAACACCACCTTACTTTACCTAATGTTTCCTTTTTTCAAAAGAAAATAAAACAGGGGTCATGGCCTTACAGCAAGGCCCTGTAAGCCCACCCAGTTCCGCACAGAGTTAGCCAGCCTGTGGAACTGTGGTCTCAGACTTCATGTCTGGACCTGAGCTGCCAATGATCAGCTGTTCCGTCAGTTCTTAAGCACGAGCTCACAGCCTCACCTTCGCCACCTCCTTGTTTTTGTTGTTCCCGGGCCTGCCTACCATCTCATCCTCTGAGCCGGATGAGGAGCCAGCGCTGTCCGTCTTCACTTGCTGGCCTGTCTCCTTCTTGCCCTTCACCAGGATCCGCCCCTTCAGTTCCTGAGCCCAGCCAATAAGAAGCCATTAAAACACAATAGCTCCTCCCCTCCCGACCTACTAACCCGTATGCAATCAGGTTTACTACCAGGAAGTCATCCACAGTCATGACAAGAGCACACTTTCCTATTTTTTTACTATAACGAAGACACTTGTTAGTGTTAGTATCTTTGTAGTATAAATGTACCATACCTCTAAGCTGCTTTGAAAGTTATCAGAATTTCAGCTTAGGAAGAACCAAAGGTAATTGATACATCCTCTTAGTTGTTTTGTTTTTTTTGCTGAAGATTTTAATGATAAGTAGAAATGAAAAAAGCATCGAGCTAAAGTCACCAGACCACTGGTTTGTTCCCAGACTGTGCTGTGAGGAGGCTGCCAACTGTAAAGCAAACCACAGGAAAAACACAGACATCGCAAAGTAACACAGGAGCCAGCAGGGGGCAGTAAGACATAAAGGGGCCTGATCAGTGGAGAGATGAGCCGATTGCACAGCAATCTGGCAGACAGGAGCTCTTTCCTCAGATTATCCTGCTGGCAGGAGCTCTTTGTGGAATTAGATTTCCTGCTAATGGATCCCACAGCCTTGCTTACTGCCGTCTGTGACTCTGCTCTCTGACACTCCAGCCCTGTGGTCCCTGACGGACCCCCGCTGTGAGTAACTGCACCCGCAGGCAGCTCTGTGACCCATCAGAGGCCTCTTACAGTCTGCGGACAGAACGTGCTCCCTGTGCCGGACAGCAGGCCCATCAGACCCTCGGCTTTAGGCTGGCGTGTTTGTTGCCCTCCCCCTCCTCACCCGTTCTTCCCACTTGAGATGTTTAGAAAGGTAAAGAAGTGACATAACCACAGAAATAAAAGCACATGACAGGAGCAAGCAGAAGCACCTGTGTGTCATTCCCAGGAGCACCTCCTGCGGTTCCTGAGTACCCGTGCTCTTTCACTAACACGCTCTGACAGGACTTCAGACCTCCTCCCTGACATCTCTGCTCTGTGTTCTGTCTAAACTCCTCCTTTTAAACACTTGATCCTAACAAGTATCACTTGTCAATTTAAATCCATTTACGAGAGAGATGCTTTTCTGATGAGGCATGTTTTTGGCAGTTCAGGGTTTAGAACTGTCTCCAATAACAAACCTCCTCCTGCCAGCTTGAATTAAATCCCACCCTGCTGCCATTTTGACACGTCTTCTCTGTTTGCTGCAGGACCGCCGAGGCAGAGAGACCCCACCTCTGGAGAAGGCAGGCTGCTGCTCAGCTGGCCGCTGATGGGCTTGGTGACCAGACTGTCTCCCAGCAATGTGCGGAGGTGCCTGGCCATGACCGCCTGCTGCTCCACGGTGCAGTGATTCTCCAGAGACAGGATCAGGGGGTAGGGGGAGGCCTGGCCAGGGAGAGACACACCAGCACAGTCATGACTCTGAACATGCAATGGGATCTGCAGTAAAACTAAAAATGCCAGTGATGTGTAATCTATTACATGTATAAATAGTACTAGAAGCTGACACCTATTTAGAAATAATTTAGCATCTGGCACACCATGATATTTTACAGAAGGGACACGGCGCTGATCATTTCATTTTGTGGGGATGGAAAGACATGCTGTAAGCTAGAAGCCGGACTGTCCCCCAGGCCCTGGCCTGCAGAGGGCTCTCCCCCGGGCCCTGGCCTGCAGAGGGCTCTCCCCCGGGCCCTGGCCTGCAGAGGGCTCTCCCCCGGGCGGTGTCTGCAGGGGCCTACCATACCTTGAAGGCGTACTGGGCGATGGTCTGGATGACCTCTCGGAAGGGGATCTTGGAGGTGAGCGTGTGGCCGTGGCAGATGACCGGCTCCCCCTTGTCCCCGTCCCAGCAGTCCAGCTCCACGCAGCGGCAGCCCTGGTTCAGCGCCCTGCGAACACAGGCGCCCCCAGGTCACCCCGAGTCAGGACCCCCGTCCTGTCGCACTGTCACACTCCCGCTGAGGAAGGGGGTGATTCCGGCTGTGTGCAATTCCTCAACAAAAGCTGTCCTTTGGACATTACAATCAGCTCTCCCATGGGTTTGCCATGCTTATACCATATAATTACTTTATCCCACCATGACACCTCTCTACACTCTACAGTACTTTCACAGTAATTTCCCTGTGCTTTACTCCGCTTTACCGTGGAGTATCACAGTACACTGTCACAAGGGTGTGCTGTTTCTTGGTCTGGTTACTTAACATTACAGGACAGCACTCCCTGAAACAGTGGCAGTGCTTGGCATCCTCCATTTTCCCTTTAAGATGGGGGCCTGGCTGGACGGGGTGGCTCACAGGGCCAGTGTGTCGAGCGTACCTGATGTAGGGCTCCGTGCTGCTCATGCTGGTGATCTGGTCCTTGGTCAGGTAGGTGTTGTGGGAGGCCGAGATGAAGTAGTGCGCCAGGGGCTGGGTCATGTCCTGAGAGACGGTGGCGTGCGCAGGGTTGAAGACGTTACTCTCGCTGGACAGCAGGTACATGGTGAACCCATCCATCGTCATGAACTGGCTCTTCTTAGCTGCGATGAGACAGCGAGGCAATGAGGCGCTTTGTCAAGCTGTCAAGTTGTGACTGTAATGTAGCAGTGTACTGTGTTTTGTCTATGATATGTGTGTGTTATGTCTGATCTTTCTTTCTCTCCCTGTATCTGTATCGCACCACGACAAACTCCTGACAATCCAGCAGGCTGGTTTGGCAATAAACCCAACTTTATCAGAGACGTCATTGTTATTGACAGTGCAGCAGGAGCTGCTCGAATCAAGGGGGAATGAGATGGGGGTCCCTGGTTACAGGAAGCGATTCCCTTTGTCTACAGACGTGCCTCTTTGGAAGAAGAAGTGAGTAAGGAGACATCATTCCCCTTCCTTCCCTGGAAATGTCTCCTTCTGCAGTGGGACATCTATACATTCGGGACTCCCCTCTGGCCTATAGCACTGCTTCATCTCCCTTGACAGTTTCTGAGGTAGTAGCAGCCGTCTCACTGGGTGGGAAAGTCAGCCCCAGTGTGGCTCCCTGTCCCGCTCCCCCGGCTCACCCCTGTCGCTGAGCTCGTAGGTCTGGATGATGGCGTGTGCGTGGGCCAGCGTGGCCTGCTCCTCGCCCTGGTCCCACAGGAACTCCCGCAGCTCCTCGGCGGAGAGGGCGCTGTCGTTCCCCGAGTACTTCCAGAACACCGCCTCCAGCTCGGGGCGCCGCATCAGGCGCCGGCAGAACTCGGCGATCTCGCTGTTCTCCAGCCGGCCGTTGGCCGATCGGTCGCACTGCTGCAGAACAGGAGCGCGCGCTGTGAGCCCGCCCCGAGCCCGCCCTCGGAGCAGCGCCCAGCCCGCTGGGACACCGCGGCTCTGAGGGATGTGAGAGCGAGCCAGTGTGCCTGGGTGTCAAGCAGCAGAGGAGCTCTGAGCCTTAACTCTTTTTCACCCAGGCATCTGCTAACCCTGTAGTTGCCCCTTTACCAAAGTGAGGCTCAAACTGCGGACAAGACACCTGCTGCCTTCAGTGGCCGACAGAACCCAGGAAGTGACTGGTCTCAGCGTGTCGGGGACCGGGGGACTGGTTACATGTTTATGCACAGACAGACGTTGAAACCAGCGACAGTGACCTTTCAGCCTTCCACTTATCAGCTGGCTTCTACCGTCACAAAGCGAGTACCAGCTAGAATATCATCCCCACAGTCCATCTTCTTTTTCTTTATTTCCCCCAGATCATCGGCTCAACAGGAGAACGTTCTGCGACGGGGGATGCTGACTGCGAGGAGCTGGAATCAGCACATTTTTTATTGGTAGCTCTAAGCATACTTGCTTTCTGGTGCTGGCAGGCAGTGTAATTGAATCCAGACGTTTACTACAGACTGTCTGAGGCTGACTACAGCTGCCTCAGCCTCAGCATGTCTCCCCAGAGCCCCCGCCACGCCACCAGTAACCCCCCTCCTCCCAGACCACACCCCCGAGCAAGCGCTCTGCTTTCAGAGGTTCACTCTCCTCAGCTGCAAAAACCAGGAAAAACCAAGGCCTGATTTCTGGTAGCTATCAGAATGCCCCTATTGAACTGTTTCATAATAATTCTACAAATATGAAGTAACACGTGTAGCACAGAAATCTCCTCCATCAAAAGTTTTGAGCCTCTTTTCAGGATGGCTGCTCTCTCCTGGTGCGATCCAGAAGCTGTTTCCATGGCAATGATCTCAACAGGCCTGCAGGCTTTAATTAATATCTTACAGATGAAAAAAATCAACATGATATGTTTTTAAAAAATCTTTAGCTTCCGGTCTATTGATTTGTTAATTTGATCTAAGCCAGGGATGTCCAGAACAACAGCAGTCCTGGATCTGCATTAATAGGTATAATCAGGTCTTAATTACTTTATGGAGTACTTTATGATTTTTAATTGTTTGATTCTTTGAATCCCTAGTTCCTAGAAATCCCGCACTGGGAGTACAGGTCCCTAGACTATCTGGTCCCAGTCCAGGACTGGTCTTGGGCAGCTGGAATCAGATACAATTCCTTGGTTTCTTTGTTAACGGGGCAGGTTCCAAAAGAAAACCGTAGCCAAAAACAGGAAAAACAATCCTGAAAAGAACAGATTTTGTTTTGTTGATTCTTCTTTGTGGCTTAGAAAAAAACAAGATTTGAAATCCTGCAATACGACCGGCCAGTGAGGCTGGAGAACTCTCTCGGCAGGACCAGGACTGCTCTTATAACTTTGACTTTCAGCAGGAGGCGTCAAGCTCCACGCCTCTGTCTTACAGACACTGGCCTCTCCGGGACTATAAAAGGGCCAGGCCGCCCCCCCTCGCCGCGCCCGCGGGCTGCCCTCACCTTGAACAGGCACCTGGCGTACTGCTCGTTCAGCTCGATGTTGATCATCTTCAGCAGGCTGCCCACTTCCTCGTAGCTCATCTTGCCATCCTTGTTCAGGTCAGCTCTCCTCAGGTAGCCATAGATCCAGGTGCAGGGAGTCAAGGACACTGACAGACTCACGGGCACCCCACTCCCACAGAACCCCACCCCCACTCCACAGCACCCCCAGGAGCCCCACCCCCACTCTATAGCACCCACAGGAACCCCACTCCACAGCACCCACAGGAACCCCACCCCCACTCTATAGCACCCACAGAACCCCACCCCCACTCTATAGCACCCACAGGAACCCCACTCCACAGCACCCACAGAACCCCACCCCAACTCCACAGCACCCCCAGGAGCCCCACTCCCATAGGAGCCCACCCCAGACCAGTGTCTAGCGTCAGTGCAAGAAGAAGTCTCGCCCCGCTGGCTGTGAAGGATATTGCTCCAACATGTCTCGCTGGCTCATGCTGAGCGCCCTCTCCTGCAGCTTGCGCAGGCCTCGGACCCAGCACTGCACCTCCTCCGAGCTGCCCCCCCGCAGGTCCAGGCTCTTGCGCTTGCCCCCCCTGAACACCACGGTGAAGCACTGCTGCTCGGGCGCGGAGCCCTCCAGCCCCCGCAGCGCCTCCGACTGGCAGCCCTCCCGCACGCAGTCCACTTCCAGCACCGAGACTGCGGGGGCACAAGAGTGGGCACACACATGGGCACGGCCCAGGGGCTCTGCAGCCGAACCGGCCTGATGCTGCTCTCGCTGCTGGCGCTGCAGGGACACTGAGCGCCGCCCGCCGGCACCTGGGCACGGCCGGTCACCGCCAGCCAGCGCACAGCCCCGAGCTGAAGTGGCGACGATAGCCTTCCCTACGCCCAAGAACAGGTCGAGGCAAAGGAGACCAGACTGGACCCACCCAGAACTGCGCTGATAACTCGAGATCTTGAAACATGTCTGCCTCCAAGACTATGGATTTGTTGTCAGCTCTCTCCTCTTGAACCTCGCACTGCTGTAGGTGGTTTTACAGTATATCTCATTTAAGACATTTGCTAGGACAAATCTGCCAGAATCCCCAAACCCAGTGTTACGCATAATCTCTAAAGAGGCTGTTATTTGGGAACCCAGTAATCCCTTTGCTTTATCAGGACAGGCAGTGCGCTCTTCATACTAACAGAACAGATGAGATGTCAAACGTATTATCACATCTCTGCTGTCCGCAGATATTCAGGACAGGAGTGGGTGCGGTGCTGAGCTGGGATTGTGAGTGACCTTAAGCCCTGAGTGCTTGCAGGCAGCAAGTCACAGCTCCTCATTAACACAGACATGTGAGCCTGGCCGGCTTCTCTGCACAAAGAGCCTCTCGCTGCTAAATTCCAGGAATTCTCCAGCAGCAAAGAGGCTCATAGCTGCAGAAACATCCACACCAGTAACCAAGCAGGGAGAAAGGTCTCCCCCTGGGGCTGTTTCCCAGTCAGGACCCTAGTATCTTCAGATTCTCATTCCATCTGAGCCCAGTTCACTCACTGAACCTTTAACTCCTCTAGTAATTTGATTAATTACATCATTTTCATTTATTTCCAGGTTGGGAAAGCCAAGATGCCTATTAGAATATAGCTATGACAATAAGTATTCAGGATGTGAAGAATTTGAAATCTCTCCAAGGTAATGATAAGTGAAAAGGTTTAATTGCAATTAATTGCAAACTACAATACCACAAAATCCAGAAGTCACTTTGCCATAACTGCACTTTACCACACCACCCTGCGCTTTATAGCACCTTCCCATCATTGCTCTGCACTTTAATATAGCTGACTCTCCTCTCCCCATGGTGATGTCACAGTCAACCTGTGGAGGCTCCGGAGATGTCCTCTATCCCCTCCATCTTCAGATGAATAAAAGCACTTCTTGCATGCCTTGGTTACTCCATAGAACAGTCATGGGCAAACACACATTGCAAAGAGCTTCTTCAAATACCATGTGAATAATAAACCTCATTCACCTGTTCCTGCAGTTATCAGCTTATCCTGCTCATTTTTTTATTCCAAAAATAGTCATGTTTGTTTTTAGCTGCTCCACGTGCCTGTGTGTTTATTCATTATTTCCACACAGGAGAGCTTCACTCTTCATCCCTCCTTTTGTTCACCACAGAAGGGTTGTAGGAGTCTAGAACGAGCAACCCAGCCGTGCAGTTCAAGCTGGTACCTTTGGATCAATCTGATACTAACTTCCAAACAGGCTAGATGGGCTGAATGGCTTCCTCTCATTTGTAACTGTTATTATATTTTGTTGTCTGAGTGAGCCCTGAGCTCAGAGAGGACCAGGCCAGCATGCTTGCCAGCACACACACACACTACAGGAGGAAGAGAAGACCTGCACTCTGCCTGTCTGCTGTCCCAGCTGTTGTCTGTCATGTTCAGCAATAACTCCAGCCCAGCAGAGCTTCAGCCACCACACTGAGCTCAAGAACATGTCCAGTAGATGTCAGGCAGTGAATTTAAGAGTTACGTTAGGAGTTTATTTTGTCCCTTTTCAAAACAAGCGCAGGAAACTTACGAAACTAAGAAGCAAATGTACAACAGGGAGGAAACTGAGTGTCGCACGCAGCCTGTAGCACTGCCGTGCAACACAGATATTCTTCCCCACATCATTTCTTGCCTCCTTCCAAAAAATCAGGGTTTTGAAGGAATGGACTATCTGTCAGCACAGGAAACGAGAGGGAAAAGAAAACACAAGACAAGATAGAAGAGGATACGGCTCCAGTCAGAAAGAAAGAAAAAGTCCTGCAAGGACAGGCTGTACCTGGAGGTCAGGGAGCAAAGGGCAGGAGCATCCAAAGAGGCCCACTCTGCTATTGGTTGCAGGAGCCCTGCCCCTCAGAGTCCTCCAATCAGAACAAGCGTGCAGACCAGGGATCACAGCTGGTCCTGGGAAACCACACACCTGCTGGTTTGCGGTCCAGCGAGCTCACAAGGATGGGGGAGAGCTGAGGCTAAATGTAAGACAGCTCTGAGATCTGGAGAGTTAATTACAGCAGTGACATGGGCTGGCTGGGGTGTGCCATGCTAAGAGAAATCTACTGTGTAATTTGAACTTTTTTTGGCCCAACGTTGCCCAAGGATGTGTTTAACCTGGGCCTGCCCCGATCTATTATTAGCTCCTGTCTAATTAGGATGAAACTCTGGTTTGCAGTGGTGCGGTTCAGAGGCACACAGGCCACAGAGCTCAGGACAGGAGATCTGAAGAACCCCAACTGCAGGGAAAACCAAAGAGCTGGTCTTCAATGGGAGGCCAACTCTGTTATAACAGCAAGAGTTTGTACATCATTCATTTAAGAATAAATTAATTTATTTATCGGCTCTCAGATTGGGCTGTGTGGGAAAAAGGAAAACCAGCTTGTGCCATTCTTTTCTTTGGGTGCTTAAAATGAAAAATTTCAATTATTATCATTAACACTCACACTAGATTTCAGATTCCAAATCCATAAACCGTTTTCATATTTCTGAACCTCTGCTTCTTAGATCAGGAGTTACAACATGTACATGTAGAACAATTTACTCAGAGCCTCCACTAGTGTTTTAGTGACTATTACCACTAATGACTATTGAAATACTGTATTTAGTATTTAGCTTAATGCTATGCTGCATTTAATACAGTTTTCCTATAAAAAGAAACTAAAATCTTTCATTTACACTGAGCAGCACCTTCAAAAACCTGATCGCAGCTCAAGGCATGTTTACATGAAGATGAGCCCTCATCACATCATCATGCGCTGTAGTAATTCATCCAACACACCAATCACCAATCAGATCTGACTGAATCCTTGTCACGAGTTCCATTAAAATTGCTTGTCCTACTTAAAAGGAAGTTTCTGTAAAACAGCCTTGCAGCACAAGTCTGATGACATCACTGACTCTAGTCTCCAGGCCCTGTGAGCCAGATAACCCAAGTATGATCACTATGGTACACCACAGTAAAATGATTAATAATGCACAGTGAAAGCATGGTAAAGTGAGCAGATATATGGCAAATCTCACCCCCTCCCTCACCCCTCCCCTTATCCCACCCCCTATCTCGCCCCTCCCGTTGCCCCGCCCCCTATCTCGCCCCTCCCCTGGTCCTGCCCCCCATATCGCCCCCCCCTCCCCTGGCCCGTGGGCACTCACAGGTCTGCTGGGCGGCTGCCCGGCGCAGCCGCTTCTTGGACTCCAGCCACACGGTCATGCCGTCCTCCAGCAGGCGCAGCAGGCGGCTCTTCTGCCAGCTCGCAGAGCGCACCTTCACCATGCTGGTGCCGCGCAGCATGGCCTGCACGTCCGCGTCCTCCATCACCCCTGGGCACACACAGGGGCAGGAGCAGGGCACACGGTTAGCAACAGGCACTGCAGCGCAGGGGAAATCACTGCACCCAGCACCTAACAACAGGCCTCTGCAGTTTAATCTTTTGAAAACAGATTGATATTTTTTGCGGCCCCATTGGCTGTGTTTTGTGTTTTTTGACCCATTACAATAACTAGGTTACGCTCCGTGAATCACTGAAATTAGGTTCCCATACAACTGGGAGCATGGGAAGATTTTCTCTAGGGCAAAGACACTGTATTGGCTTGCTGTGAGTGCTGTGTGTGCCTATGATGGTCTGTGATGGACACGGCTGAAATTGGGTGGCCACCGTGCAACAGAATGTGTTACCCAAAAATATTGATGAGTATTTTGATTTATGCAGCACTTTTCCTCTTAAAGGATCCCAAGACAATGAAGTGCGGCCCCCACCTGGGTGCCAATCCACTGCACCGCTGATCAGGCAGAGTCGGGAGACATTTCTTCATGCTGAAAGAAGTGAGAACTTCAGGGAGGCCAGTGTGGTTACAACAGACAGTTTGTGCCCAGCCCAGAGAGGAACGTAGCCTGGACACATGGGTCAACACCCCTGCTCTTAAGAACAGTTCCACGGGATCTCTAGTGACCAAGAAAACATTAGTTTGGAAATTCAAGTCCAGAGGGAAGATCGCCACCTACTGGCCCATTAGCACAGCACCACTTACAGCTCCAACCTGTTGATCCTTAGAGGTCTCCCTTCCCAGTACTGGCCAAGTCAGCGATATTCCAAAGAATCTCCCAAACAGTATCGAAAGTCATTTTCAATACTTTCAATTCAAAACAAAGGCATTTCTGTTTCTTTAGCAGCTCAGCATTTACTATCAATAAATCCCAGGTTATGACAATGTCCACAGATTAATGAAAACGGTCACATTGTGTAACATCCATTTTCTAAAGGTTTCATCCATTGCAGGGTCTCAGGGGAGTCAGAGCCTAACCCAGCAAGCAGCGGTCACAAGTCAGGACACACCCTTGATGGGAAACCAGTCCCACAGACACACACACACCAGGGCCGACTGCCAATTTTTCTAGAAGCAATTTTAGATGCCAGCATATCTTATCAGGACTGTGGGAGGAAACCAGAGCACCTGGAGAAGAACGAAAACACAGGGAAAACACACAAACTCCATGCAGACAGCACCCCAGGAATGGAGTCCAGGCCCCAGTGTGGCAGAGCTCACCACTGCGCCTCTGTGCTGCCCAAGGCTACAGGTATTTGCCATTATTTCATTTTCCAGCTGAACCACTGAAAGCCAAGTGTAAAAATCCATCTATAAACGGATGTGAACTTCTGCTGTTAGGTTCTCGTGGGATTGTTATAGCACCCTATGTATACGTGTTCCCCTGCAAGTCCGCATGTTTGGCATGGACAGGTCACGTGCGAACAGTGTGTCCTTCCAAGTCACTGTCCAGTCGTTGTGTTTACAATTTGCCTAAACACGGATATCGTCAAGATATACAATGTCCAGCTGCTTCACTTAGCAGGCTTACCACCACACCTTCCTCTGGCCCAGAACGAGATGAATCTGAGTCCATCACAGGCCAAGAATGCTGGAAGTTGAGTGCACTACAATAAACAAACCCAGAGGCACAAGTTCTAACCTCTCTTAGAACTCTTCCGGAATGGAGATTTTCAGTTTATTCAAGATGATAAATAAGCCTTATTGTGGGCTTGGAGGAAGTCACCTGAGTCTCCTTTATTAACCTTTTCTTGTCACTCACAACACTAGAGCCAATGTGTGTTGCAAATCAGGAATCAGGAATCCTAAAGGCATCTGCCAGGGTATCACCAGCTCTGACCAGTGAAGGTCCAAGGCTGAAGTGAGGTATGGGAGCAAGATGGCATAAGACCTTCAGCAGTCCAGAGCTGGGAAGCTGCAAAAACAAACAGTGGAATGGAAGACTAGGAGCAGAATCCCAGGAGCACACAGACGAATTCTGGGCTGTAATTACCACAGAGCATTTTAATGACAAGGTTGGGAAAAACCACAGAGGAATCACAGCCCAACTACAGCATGGCTGGGATCACAGAGATAAACATCAGTGGGCCTGTTGCTCAGATCTTCATGTAAAACGGAGCTAAAACATTGATGTTTTCCCATACCGAAAGTTGAGGGAGAATGAGATTAGCAAGAAACAAATGCTAGACCAATATAAAAACATCAAAAAAAGGTATTAGAAAAAATATCTCCTTTTTCATTATCTTTTTAGTACCTGAGGCTAGCAGGTTGAAGGATTCTAGAGGATTATACAGCAAGGGGGAAGCTGGGGTAGACAGATCTAATTGTCAAAAAGCAAGCAGATGAAGTGCTGTGAACCAATGGCCTTGATGAGGTCTTCAGAGCTGATGGAAGGGTCTGCAGCTCTTAAAAACTGGAGGTCTTTGGGAAGAAGAGCAGCCCATTCCTGGTTTCCAAGCATAAATACCTCAGCTAAAGCCTTGCTTTGTAAATTAAAGAGAGGGCTACATGGTGATGTCAGGAGGGGCGTGATAGACAGAGATCTAAGAAGATATAAAATGTTTGGCCTCGAGGAATGATTCACATAGCACAGCTCATGCAAAATATCAAATCTCCCTTAAACACAAAACATCATTACTTTTAACTAGTAGCAGAAAGAATTGCCTGTTCTGAACGATCTGGTTCTGCAGTGGTGAAGCCAGTGAGGATCGGTGCTCTGACCAGAGGAGAGCTGCTCTCGGCCGGTTCTCTGCTGTTTCTGCCAGATATCCTTTACATTTGAAAAATACACATAGAACCGAGCTTGTGAGCAACAGTCTGATAACTGACACATTGTATTTGTTCACAGAAATTTTAATGTACAATTTATTTGAGTTGGCTCTCAGTTGGTCAATTACTGGGTCCTGACACATAATACTGAAGATGCTCACAACCCATTTACACAGCCTTACCCCCTCAAGCAGTGAAGCAGCTCTTGCAGGTAGAGTGTTTTTGAAACATGTCTGTTGAAGGTCTGCAGAGGAGCGGAGTGTGCTCAGTGACTCAGCTGTGCAGGAAGGTTGCTGGAGAAGCCGCGGTGTCGGTGTCAGGATTGGACGCCCCAGGCTGCACCTGAGGAGCCCCTTTTCTGGCCACTGTGAAGCCTACTGTGGCTCACTGACCCCTCGTCCAGGGCCCACACTGTTGCTGACTTTTGTCTGGCTTACAGACACAACCCACACACCTCAGCCATAACACAAGGCACGCAGGCTACTCTTCAAAGGCGCTTTTACAATCACTCCCAGAATGAACCCTTGGGAGTTTTACAATGATGCACCATGCTGCACGGGGCTCAATGAGTCATACCTGAAAAACTGGTGTAACTGGTTATGCTCCCGAAAGAGTCAGAGATGTTATTCATGACCAATAATAGAATAATCTACAAAAAAAAACATAATTAGAATAATTATCCTTTCCCAAGTGCTTTCTTTTGAAAGGGCTTTGGAATTTTGCCCATTAGTGCTAGGGACCTCACCATGATGTCTGCAGGACTCTATGACTTGCAAAGTGGGATCTGGTCAAAGTGGGTTAATTCTTGTTTCAAGTCTGAGAGAAAAGGGCATGATTGTGTCACACATGGCTCTAATTATTTAACAACGTAAATGCTGCCCAACTACTGTATAAAGCAAACATCATACATTCACGCCTTGCTGACCAGTAGCCAACTTCCTGCTATTCAAGAAAATCAGAAACAGTCTAGTTTCTATCTGAATTGCAATTTATCTGAATTTCTGAACCAATTAATCAAAATTCACAGGTCAGGTCCGCAGCCAGCAAGTGGGTCATAAAGGTCAAACCATTCTTTGGGTTAAAAGGTAACAGCTCACTGACATTAGGGCACCCATACAATCTACCATTCCTTAATGACTGAAAAGCAAAAATGCAGACAGGCTCTGATTTGACTGGGCTGCTACAAAATAAGATATGCTGAAGGTTTCTGGGAACTTGGGAGATGAGGCCACATTTGCACAACACTGACCACTTAGTAGGAGGTGTTTCTCGTTCTTCTGCTAAAACCAGAACCAGAATGATTGTCACTCAACACATCCTCACAGATGAGCAGGGAAGAGATTAAATATACACAGATCAACCAGCCAACCCACAAAAATATTAAGGGCTGTGGGCCAATGCACAATTGAGTTTATCAAACAGGCTCTTCTTAATCTTATTCACAGAAGCTCTGGGAGTTATCCAACATTTCTGGGTGTCCGAATAATGCAGGCCATTGGGTGAAGCAGCCGGGTGTTTTTCAGAAGGGGGATCTTGAGTAACAAACCCTGTCTCTGCCCAGTTTACTTCTGGGTGCCTCAACTTCGGCCTCCTCAATTACAGAGTCCAGGGCCAAGCCTTTTTGGCATCCTGCAGCAGCACAAGCTGAGAAGCCAGCCCTGGACTGCACACAGCCAGAACTCCAGTCTGGCAAAGACAGCCCTGGCAAACCACTGTGGCTGGATTTCACAGCAGAGCCACAGGAATGTCACCGATGCTTGGAGCACGAAAGCAGTCAGCAAAGTGCTAGAATTTATACCTTATAACAAAAACAAGTACCCCCTTCTACAGTGAGGAAACGTATGATGTGTTCACAGGGGTTACGGGTTACTCCTGCTGTCCACACTCACTGTGGTGGGTGTCTCGCTGGCAGAGAGCACAGGCCTCACTCACACACAAACCTTACTTCCTGTTGAACTGGGGGGGCATAGAAAGGTGACGTCACCAGGTGGGGCTGCGCTCTGGTGGTGGTGGAGGGGATCCCCATTACCTGTAAAGCACTTTGCGTGGAGTGTCCAGAAAAGCACTGTATAAGTGAAGCAATCATTATTAATTATTATTATGAATTAGAGGAAAACTGATTGAATATTCAATTCAAGTCCAGTACTGCTGTTTCTTACGTGTGAAGATTTGTTTTCCTCTGTATTTTTTCCTGCGTCTGAGGTGGAGCTCATTTGTTTTCTGTAACTGAGCTGCAGGGAAAATCCGTGTCGCTCCTTGTGACAGCCTGGCTTCTCTGCCAGTCACATGACCTTTGACCCACAGATCACAGCTCGTTGCCTTATTCCTCTCTTTCCCTAACAAGCGAAGAATGCCCATGTGCTCTGCGGGCTCCTCGCAGAGCTGGCGTGACCCAGTTCAGACTGGAATGAGGCCATTGTGTAATCAAGGCACAGGTCTCAGCGGTGAATTAGAAAGCGACGTTTCGCTGGGTTGATGCTGCAGCTTCTCTCTCTGGTGCTGGGACTAACGTGACGCAGTCAGGCTTTATCTCCTTATCTCCTCCATTCTCCTCAACATTACGCTCCTCTACAGACTGAATGTTTCCTATTGAAAATCTAATTTCAGCTGTTCTTCTGAACAAAAAGCAGAAGGACAGGTGGGCCTGTTTGTAAACCAGTTCCCACAGGCAAGCCCAGGGCTTGTATAGCTTTGCCCGGCAGTACATACTATACAATCATC